CGTTTCAAAAGTAGACGCATTTATGAATGACTACCGCATTGTCAAGAAGTTTGTTGTTGTTTTTAGGAAATAGAATGCCAATTTTTTTTTTTAAAAAAGTTTGTTTTTATTTCTATAAACGATTATATTACCGAGCCTGAACCTCCGGTGTGAATTTGGGCACCTTTATAAAAGCCAACCTGTATTATTATACATTATGATAATAAAAATCAACGCTATGTATGAGCAGAACAGAATTTTGCAAATCCGTCTATATATGACGAAGGTATGCCCGAACATACCCACATAAAAAAATATAAACATCCGAATTGTCTCCTCCTTCTTTTTGAAGTCGGTTAAAAATAAGTACCTACTTTTTACTTCTATCTGTGATTATAAAATAAATTATAACTTCTTATCACTTGACCACGACCATGTGACCCCCCTTGGCGCCAAAGCTGGATCCGCCCTTGATCCCTACTTTTATATATACCCACTGTTGCCCAGTCACTAAATTTTAATTTTGAATTCTTAAAAATTGTTCGCGATTTAAAAGTATCACTATAAGAAAAAAAGAAAAAGTCAACCATTGATCTATAAGAATCATTAGGGTTATTGACTCCTATATCTTTATTTAACATATGATGTGCCACTTTATCTCTAAAAGCATTTAATCTATTAGTAATGACTGGTCTACACTTGATCTTAAGTTTGCTTGTATTACTGTAGTAGTGACTGGTCTATACTTGATCTTAAGTTAGCTTTTTTTTCATTTATTGAAAATTTTAGACCAAAGTGACCCGAGCTCAGATGATTTATATTATATTTATCATATACATCATTGTGACAGAATACATTATGATAATAAAACATCTGGAGGAGGATAAAGTTGAAAAAAAAATGAGGAGGATAAGTTAGTAACACGAGTTGGTTCATAAAAAAGATTTTTGAGTTCAAATGAATTAAATAAATTTAAAAGTTGTTTACTAAGTTGTGTTACTTGTAATAAATCTACATTAAAATCCCCACAAACTATTAATGATTTACTACTTGAACATATTTTTTTAAGAACATCATCCATTACACATTCAAACTGTTCGAAATCACCTGAGGGAGGCCAATATACGCATACTATAATATACTGTTAACTCTCAACGCAGGATAATTCAATAGAACGTTCGAGAGTGTGTCGGTTCTAACTAACACAAGAGAGCCACCGCGAACAGCATTACGCATGCTTATGAACCCATAACCATAAAAAAATGCTAAAACGTGATTCGGGATAGCACTTTACTACCCAAAGAGTACATTATTAATTGTTTTTACTACCCATCGTTAGACATAGGTAACGAGGATTCCCTTCGTATGTAGAGTTACCATAATTTAAAGTTTTCTCCCAATAATCGATTATCTAAATGATAATCGGTTGCTATCAACCATGTTGACAATCGATTCCGCACGCCGTTAAAACAGATTCATTTACCGCATAATCTCTCAAAAAATCAGATCATTTTTTTTTGGGCTGGATGACCCACAGTTGGCCTTAGCGGCCTTTACAGTTCCGACGGGCTTAAGGTGGCATGGCGCACGGGGCGCCTAGCCTGAACCTCGGCGTATTATAATTACAAATCAGATCACTCTATTTCTTTACTTTTACATCCAGTAAACGCAAATAAAACAAGGAAGCATTATTCTCATTCCAAAATGGCATAACGAAACCAATACCGTGATCGGCGCCACTTAGAAACTGTACCACTTGGCTATTTTAGTTAAGTCCTGTCCAGGGATGACATTATGCCATATGAATTAATTTAATTAAAGATTTTAATTAAATGTAAAGTAAAAAAAAAAGTAAAGTAACAGCCTATACATGTCCCACGGCTGGGCAAAGGCCTCCTCTATACAGACGGTATCAGGGCATTGTCCACCACGCGGCCCCACTGCGGATTGGCGGACTTCACATATTTTCGAAATATATCTTTTTATTATTATTTCGAAAATATGCAGGTTTCCTCACGATGTTTTCCTTCACCGCGGAGCACGTGATAATTCAGCACTTAAAGTTAAAAACTTCATTGGTGCCGGCACCGGGGATCGAACTCAGGTTGCTCGAGTATATATTGAATTAAAGGCGAGCGACCGGATACTGAGCTACTACGGCTCTGTAATAATTGCAATTAAATGTAATAATTGCAATTTATTTTGGAACAGTTGCCGTAACGTATCTAGGCAAGGTTTTGACGTAGTGGGGATATGTTTGTTGAGGTAAACGTAATGCAACAAAAAGGTGCTCACTTTCATTGCTTGAAAGTTGCCTTGTTTGTCATTATTTTATGGTTACTATCATAATTTATTTAGAAAAAACATCAGTTTAAAAAGAAGATAAATAAAGGAGATGAATGCGAAGTTTATTAATTGTAATAAATTCAACAAAATACGATTAGGAGTAAAGAAATTTATTATAAATCAAAATGTAATCACATCATGCAACACCACTAGGGCTTTCTAAAAGTGTTACCACTGGCATGAACTTAGCCAAAGTTGAGCTGGTGGAAGGGGTTGGCTCCTCATCCCCAACATGACTCGTCACTCCCATTGTCCGAGGAACAGTACACATCGTTAACCATTTTTCTGGCATGTCTGCGTAGAACGGTATTCGTTCGTGTCATTACAAATAATTTAAAGAAAAAAAAAATAACAAAAACTCGTAACAATAATTTAACAAAAACAATAGGTTTAATTTAAGTGCAAGCAAGTGTACTCGAGACCGAATGGAACGTGGACACGGTGCTAGAGCCAAGGGTCGACTGAGCAACTAAACACGCGCCCGGAACGATGCTGTCATGTGACCCGCGTCCCGCACGATGACCAAAGAGACCCAAAATACGAGTTCTGCGCATCTACGACTCATTTACATCACGTTGGTCAGGAGTATCTTGCAATACTGCTTATCACTTTGGTCACCTGTATATCAGATCCATACAGAGAGAATTGAGTATGTACAGCGCAGATTTATGCGTTGACTGTGCTCAAGACTAGGACTCAGGAGGAAAATGACAGCGTATAGTGACCGGTTGAACAAATTTAGATTAGAGAGCCTTGAAAAATGTAGGTTGGTTGCAGACATGTGCACATTACAAAAAGTTGCCAATGGACAATTTGGTGACCAATTCCTTCAGTTAGTTATGTTTTAAGGTGCCAACACGTTCGGTGCGGGTCCCACAGTTATTTTACATTCTTCAAATAATGTTATTAGAAATGGTCCTTTGCTCAGGATGTGACAATTTTATAATGGAGCCTGTTCTCATCAAGACATATTCAACTGTAGTCTGTCTGAATAAAAACACCCATGAAACATGTACGCACGTAAGAAGTTATACTTCTTTAGCGTAAAACGAAAGAAAAATAACCAAAATTGTTTTTTTTTTTGTGAAAAAGACATTAAATGCAATTGATAACGGTTTATTTAAATAACTTGGAATTATAGTACCTAACTAGCACGAGTTACCGTGTTGCTAGTTGTAGACACGGTTTCTAGACAAAATTACGGTGAATCTGCTAAGTGTTCCGAGTAATTTTTCAAAGGAATAAACCAACATTTTGAACCTAATAAAGTATCGATTAAATTTTAATTATTAACAAAGAATATTATTTTTTTTATTTTGAATTATTTACAAAGGAAATTTAAATAACATAAGAAACATCAAACTCAACCTACTCACTAAAAAACAGTAAAATCTCTCTGTATTACTTAGAAATTACGATTATTTTAAGATAAAAGCTTGAAATTTAAACAGTTCTTAGATTTAAATGTTTACTACTTAATTGTTAAATAAGCACGAGGATAGATTTCATAGAGATAAACTTTTAGATATTGGTGATTCCCCTGGAATTCTGGGTAACCAAGAGCAATACTGGCATAAAATAAATATAAAGTTTACTGACTGAGATTCGTTTTACACAGTACATGATGAAAATATTTTGAATTACGTTATTATATAATGGTAATACGGCGATAAATGACACGGCAATACGTTATTACCTTGACGGTAGATAAATACCCGATTACGGTGCATTTACGGTAACTACCGTGTGCATGGAGAGACTCTGGAAATATCAAAAATAAAAATATCAAAAAAAGTATCGAAAAATCAAAAAGTCACTTTGCAACTAACTTAGTCATGTCGTGTGGCGGTCGGCGTGCGCGAGCATCATAAAAATTTTACCGTAATATTTTTCCAAACGCGCCAAAAGAAGTATTACTAACATTATTAAAAGAGGTTTTATGTTATAAAGAACTGAGTCAACCAACTGTACCATATGTTTTGAATCCAAATAAGGTGTACAAATTTGCCTCACCGCCCGTTGAAAGATAATCATATAGAGATGTACAAGCATTTCAGTAGTCGATTTTTAGGGCTGTATGAGGCGCGGAAAGGAATATGAAAAAATAGCTGGCTTATAGCTGTTGTGCAATCATTAGTAAACGTTAGGTAATGTATCTTATTTTACAACAGCCAGTGGTGGGTGGCGGTGTAGTAGTGATTTCCATTTCCCTTTGTTGCTTTTCAGAGAAAAGAAAATATATTTTTTTTTAATGCTGTGGTTTAAGTCTTAACGTTACCGATTCGGTTTACACCTGCTTCTTAGTTATCATTGGTTGGCAGATTAACAAGTGTTAACGATATTATAAGTAAAACTGAATATGTGTACATAAAGATGGATGAATTATATTTTTTACAGGTGTTTATTACGATTAACATGATGATTTATACGGCCGAATTTATCATCTAATAAACAGCTTGTTAAATAGAATGGTGGATTTATTTCGTAATGGTTATTAAAGGTAAAAAAAAGGAAACTATAACAGCAACAGCATTCCCTATTTTATTGCAAAATCACGTTATAATAAATATACTTTGGCAAAAGAAAATCCTTAGCTTTTATAATTATGGTACAATCTTGCGTGCTGCTGTTGTCTTAAATATGATTTAATTAAAATGCATTTTTTATAATACTTAAACTTTACTACTGGAGGCGTTATCGGTATGAAATTCTAAGAAGTCTTTGAGCAACGTCGTTCGGCGTTTTTCAGCGATATCCATTTGATTTTCTAGGTCACCGCGGTCCGTCGTTTCTGCTCTTTCAACTTTCCATGAGAGATTTTCTATTTCTGCTTCCAACTGAGCCTAAAGACGTGTTAAGAATTAATAAAATATTTATTTAATAAAAAATGATTCAAATGCTTTGTGACCTTCACATATGAACTTTACATTAAAGTTTTATACGTAAGGGTGTTCTTAAATTCTTTGTTTTGGAAAATTTGATAACTCGGTAAATATTGATGTTTAAAGAATGTAAATTTTTAACAAAATTTAAAAAAGTTATCCTCTATATGTGTGTTCTTTTATTGTCGCGATGGTAAAGACACGCTGTATATGTATATATAAATAAAAATCACACGAGCAAAAAAATTACAATGACAAATCTATGAAAGTCAAAACTCCGTCAGCAATGACGATGTAAGACAATATAGAATAACTTCAACTTTAATTATTCGGCTTATATTTGGCAAAACGGCAAAATTATCATACAAACCTGTTGGTATTCGAAAAGTTCTTTTCGTGGTCCAATTTCCAAATAATATGCAAAAGGGTAGGTATATTGAAGTGTATAGCGACAGCGCTTTAATAAACGTGCTGCGTCCCAGAGATATTGCCAGTCAATCCAAGTCCCCTCGCCAGCCATAACCTAGTAAAAAAAGATTAACAATTTTGTTATTTTTTGGGCAAAATTTTTAAAAATAAATCACAAATAGTAACGACGCATCATACATATTTGATAATGGACTTTGACCTCTTACGGGGTCACTAGGTTATGTTGGGTGCCTAATAGTAGGAACGTCTAAATTCTATAACACAGGCCACCTCCTTCATGTGAATTGAAACAACGTATTCTCGGAACGGCTTACTTATGTTGTCCGCTAGTCATTCTCTTATTCAGTCATTGCAAGCTTATTAATAGTCGTTATGTCGGAATAAATGCGCGGCGGCACGAATTCGCTGGGTTCCTGCTTTCATAGTAGGGGCCAATAGGCTGCGCGCGACGGCTTGATGTCCTCCAATATACGGCCAGTCGAAGGCGCCTAAGTTAGGTCGTGTTCGATTCGGAAATTGCTTATTATTAAAAGGTTTTTTGTTTTTGTAAAGTCGTGTTTTTTCGGTAATATTATAGGATAAGGTTATTATGTGATCCAACCACAAAATTTAGTGTAAATCGTTAGAACCATTTCCTTGATGCACGAATTATATTTATGTATTATTATTAACAATTCATGTTCGTTTAATATAAGAGATAAAATAATAGGATTACTGTACCTTTTGGTTAATTCGACTTTTTAAATTGGCTAATGTCTGTTCTTCAAGTTTTAGAGAGCGCGCATGGTTTTCCCACCGCTCGTAATAATGTAAATATTTTTTTAATGCCTCCCTAGCCTGAAATGAAATATACAGCTCCCTTAATTTGGTTTATCAACATTTATACAACTACTAGAAAACTTGTTTAAATAACTATACACACAACCGGCCCTAATAAAAATCAAATATTTCTGTATAGAAACTTATAATACCTGAGCATGTTGGTTGTCATTTACTAAATTAGGATCTTCTCTATATCGACTGCACTCGTAGTATTCAGAGCCATGACATTTCCAGTCGCCAAGGCAAACCCAACAAAAATCATATTTGCATGCTCCACATCGCATATGGTTGCAGCCTCCATTCTTTTCAATACATATTTGACATTTTGGACAGTCCTATAGGTAGAGAAATTGAATACTTTTAAATATTTTTCTAGTTTTTGTGAATTTAAAGAAATCAATGTATACAAAACTAATTTTAAAAAATTATTCAAATGTTGGAAGTGTCTAATCTGCCACCAGTGGCCATTTAAAAGTAAAGTAACTGCCTATACATGTCCCACTGCTGGGCAAAGGCCTCCTCTATACAGAGGGTATCAGGGCATAGTCCACCACGCGGCCCCACTGCGGATTGGCGGACTTCACATATCTTCGAAAAATATTTTTTTTTATTATTTCGAAAATATGCAGGTTTTCTCACGATGTTTTCCTTCACCGCAGAGCACGTGAGCACCAATGAAGTTAAAAACTTCATTGGTGCCGGCACCGGGGATCGAACTCAGGTTTCTCGAGTATATTGAATTAAAGGCGAGCGCCCGGACACTGAGGCTCCTTTAACCGCACATTTGCACAGTCCAGTGCGGTTAAAGGATAGTGTGTGATTACACTTTGTCTTCAACTTTGATTACATTTTTTTCATATATTTATAATATATTCAATAGAGGAATATTAGACGAGAAGATATGCCGAAGTTTCTCAAACGCTGCCCATCCGAGTTGGATTCGAAGATTGACCTCTGCGCCGAAGTTGAATTTACCTAACCAGACTTAGCTATCCTAGGTAAATGTACTCGTCAACAACTTCGAGCACAGTGCTCCTAACAACAACCGGTGTAGGCGTGAGATGGACATTAGACATGAGTTTCGTTTTGACTATGTTCATTTCAAGGCCCATGTGTTTTCTTGTTTGTTCTAGTCTGCCAACAATGGCCGTTGTTGGCCGTTGGTGTTAGACTAGACAATTCCTTAAATGGTTAGGCTTGGGCCTCAAATATCGTTAATGTTAATAGATGTAATTTATGTAATCTAATGTATCGTAATTTACAACCAAATTTGCATACCTATTATACATATTTTACATACCTTTGTATGAGCACTTATGTAGTTGGCTGTCTCTGAATCATCAGCACATTTAGTTAGCCATCTTCGTATGGTCGCACAGTCAGTAGGTGCATGATGGGGTGCCCCACAAGAGAAACAGGTCAGGGTTTCACATCCTAAGCATTCCACACGACGGGCACCTTCTCGAACCCATGCTTGATAAATCCACTGAAAAATTACCGTAATATCTTTTATGATACAATGTGAATGTTCGCTTCATGTAAAGTTAACAAGCTAGCAGGCACTCCGTCTGATGTTTAGGAGTTACCGCCTTGCTGGATACCTTGACAACCTTTAAAAAATAGTGGGCCTAGGTTACCTAGCTCCCAATGAAAAAAGAAAGTATAATAGTTCCACTTCACAACAGTCAATTTATAGCATAGACCTTATAGTATTTATTATATGTTTTATAATAGAAACTAGTTATAGTTATATAGTATCTATAATATTTATAGTTTATAGCTTATGATTTAGCATCACTACATAGTATAAAACAAAGTCGTCCCTCTGTCTGTCTGTCCCTATGTATGTTTAGATCTTTAAAACTACGCAACGGATCTTGGTGCGGTTTTTTACTAGATAGAGAGATTCAAGAGGAAGGTTTATATGTATAACACATTGCACCCGTGCGAAGCCGGGGCAGGTTGCTAGTAAGCTGCAGTAGAGGAGTCCTAAACAGGGCCATAGTCGCGCCGGGGTCGCGGAAGATTGCGTCCACGTGTTCCCGTGTCTCCGGCCGATGCAACACAGACAGGTGCAACGTGGGTTTTTTAGTGGGTACCCGTTTCTCACCGGGACTCCCACATACCCCTGCCACTCCCCCGATCCAGTGGCAGGGGATCCATAAAGGATTTTTCCCACGAAAAAAAAAGGTCGCTAGTAAGCTATAAACTATAAAATTAAGAAATAACCAGCCAAGTGCGAGTCGGAGTAGCGCACGAAGGGTTCCGTAGCATTATTCATAGAATAGGCAAATAAACCATGTCTGTTGTATGGGAGCCACAAATAAACATTTTTTTATTTTGTTTTTGTTGTTATAGCGGCAACAGAAATAAAACATCTGTGAAATTTCAACTATCACGGTTTATGAGATACAGCCTGGTGACAAACGGACAGACAGCGAAGTCTTAGTAATAGGATCCAATTTTACCCTTCGGGTATGGAACACTAAGAATACTAATATTGTGTTATTTTTTAAACAAGTCCATGTAACCATTTCTTAAGTTTATATATCATTGAATAACTATGTACAAGTATGTGCAAGTTGCATCTGCAAATGGAACTATTTTTGATGTAATTTACTATATACAATTATTAATCACATAAGAATATAAAAATGGTGCCGCAATACTTCCTATGATATTCCAAACATCTTAATATACAATTGAGCCCAGAGGTACAAACCACAATTACCATTTCTAAATAGAGGCGATAAAAATGTATATCACAATATGCTTTGTTAAGACTCCCTGTCTTCACGACATATTTACTGCATAAGCTTTATTATAACTTTGGTAAACACCAACTGCAGTTATTTCAATTTAAATGTAAAGTAAAGTAACAGCCTATACATGTCCCACTGCTGGGCAAAGGCCTCCTCTATACAGAGGGTAACAGGGCATAGTCCACCACGCGGCCCCACTGCAGGTTGGTGGACTGCACATATTTTCGAAATATATTTTTTTTGTTATTATTTCGAAAATATGCAGGTTTCCTCACGATGTTTTCCTTCACCGCGTAGCATGTGATAGGTCAGCACTTAAAGTTAAAAAATTCATTATTGCCAGTACCGGGGATCAAACTCAGGTTGCTCAAGTATATTGAATTAAAGGCGAGAGCCCGGACACTGAGCTATCACGGCTCGTGTCTTGAATTTAAATGTGGTAACAATATATTCAAATAAATTTCTATAGTTAAATAATTGAATGGTACACTAACCTGACAATCAGGACTAGGACAAAATCTTAATTGAGGGTGAGATTTAACATGATCCTTAAACATGAATTGTTGATATCGCTCCCTCATAGCTGGTTTTGTAACATGTGACAAAACAAAGTCTTCTGGGGCTATAACCTCACAGTCCGGGGCCATGCACTGTATAGTGTTTGAAACACCTAAAATAAATTTTAAAAAAATTCCCTAAATTAATACTGACGTCAATCATTATCTATTTATCATTATAATTTTGAATGCTATGATTGTTACATGTGAACAAAATTATAATCCTTTGCAATGTTATAGAGCATGAGATTTATCTTCTGAGACTGCAAATAATTAGTATTTTACCTTGAGTAAAGAAAATAAAACAAATTATTATAAAAACAAATTCTATTAACAATTTAAAAAAAGGAAAAGAAAATTAACTTTTCAATTATTATTTTGCGGTGGTAGGGCCACGCAAAACTGTTGCACAAATGGGCAGTTTCAATCGGGTAAGTACCACAACCTTACTGAAGACCGGCGTAAAGTTGAAGTGTTACACTTCTGCGTTTCGTCTGGTGAGTGAGGTAGCCAGAGCCCACTTTATTTAATAGACATTTGCAACCCTACGAGTGTTGCAAATGTCTATGGGCGCGGGTATCACCTAACATCAGGTGAACCGCCAGCTTGTTTGCAACTTTCTCACATAAAAAAAATATTTATTGTTTTAATATGGCATTAGCAGTGTAGCGAACCTTTCACACTAAAAAAATCAAATGAGACTTGTTCCAGTAAGCAGTTAAATAACATAAGTTACCTTGCAATATTTGTACTTCAAAATGCATTGCCCAACATTTATTACAAAAGTAATGACCACAGGCTAATGCACTATATTTATGAATAGGTGGTGTATTAGCACAAACAGCACATGCTGTTCGACTGGAATTGCTCTGAACTAAGGGCACTCTTGGCTTGACATGGCTGTAAGTCAATACTTCATTGGCATTCTCCTTGTATTTATTGATAATCTCTTGAGCATTCCATTCATATGCATGAAGCATTACCTAAAATTTAAAAACAAATATCTGTTTCATTTTACAGTAGAACAACAACACATAATTAAATAATATACAGGGTGGCTTTCCTAAGGGAAGTATTTTGGAATCAGCTTTATTGATTTCTTGATTTTATGCGAATATTATACATATTAAATGAAAGTAGTTTACTGATTTTATCACGGATTTTATCGCGTTTTTTATTTTTATTTTAATATCCCGACGTTTCGAACCCTTTCCAGCGTTCATGGTCATGGGACAGACTGTCTGTCTTCCCTTCCCAGCATTCATTCGACTGTCCCTTTCCAGCGTTCATGGTCACGGGACACCCTTTCCAGCATTTATCCGACTGTCCCTTTCCAGCATTCACGGTCACCAGACAGACAGTGTATCAGTCCCGTTAAAATCTGTAAACTGGTTTCATTTAATATCAGCTTTATTCTTTATATTACAAACAATTTATCTTTTGGAACCATTTTAAAAGGCAGCAAGACAGCAAGGCGATGTTGGCCTAGAGAAAATGAAACAAAACCTATCCAATAATTAAATTTTTAAGGACACATGTGTCAAAGAAAAGAGGAATGAGTTGTGCCGAATGGTGAGCAGACAAAAGTGCCATTTATAAGAAATTTTTAAGTGGCACTTTTGTTTTCTAGTACAATGTATTTCAAAATATGTTGCAGTTAGAGACTCCACAGCTCATTTCCTATCTTAAGTCAAATATTATTTTCTTTGTTTACTGTATTATTTTCATATCAAAACAAAACAAGTACAAAGTTGAAATTTTTGGATAAATAATTGGGTTTATACAGATACAACTAATATTTAAAAACAAGATCACCATGCCTAATTATAAAATGATTATGAAGCTTTTTCAATTATTCAGTTTTACAAAATATCTATTTCTGGATGGCAAAATAGTTATAAGCAGAAGTGAGTACAAAGCTGAACTATGTAAGCCTAACGTTTGTTGATTTTAAGTGGGTCTGTTAACTGTTCTCATTTTAATCTCAACGTAACATTCGACAACAGACACACATAAAAGGTAGATTTATTTAAATGAAAAAATCATAAAACTGATTTATGCACTGTAGAAAGATACCAAACCGTGATTGAAATTTTCAGGGGAGCCCTCACTTAATACAATCACTTATGTAGTTATAGATTAATGATAGAATAATACCTTAGCAAGTGAAGGCGTTATTTGTAGGCTATTACTGAGCAATTCAATAGATTCGTTTTTTTTTTTTTTTTTTTTTTTTTTTTTTTTGGCTGGATGAGCCACTGTTGGCCTTAGGGGCCTTCACAGATCCGACGGACTTGAGGTGGCCGGGCGCTCGAGGCGCCTAGCCTGAACCTCGCGTATTTACTATTACGCGTTATGGTGACTAAGCTCGAGGGCTCCCGAAGGAACCTCGGCTCGGGCCGTCACGCTATTTAATTCACCGGTTTGGGAGGCCGCCTAGCTCTTAGGGCGCTTTGGCGGGGGCTCCATGGAGTGATCTGGCTCAAGGGTCCCCGAGAGGGGACCTCGGCTTGGGCTGTCACTCAGCACGCGTTTAGCATTCCGATTCGAGGGTGCCCGAGAGGGCCGGACCTCGGCTCGATCGGTAGCTGTTATCTGACTGGGGGGATCTCTAGAGCTATCATTACTACCACTTCGTAAAGCGTTGGCGCTGGGAGAAGAAGTGGCGGAAGAAACTCCAGCAACGCTTCTATCTTGAACTGGGGAGAACCTGCCAGGTACGTGGCGGAACCTAGTATATGTTTGCCGCACTCGCCGGCGAGTGCGGTTTTGTGTTGGTGTGCTTGCGAAGTTTTTTTAATCCTTTCGATGGCGATAGTCGTCTCATCGTCAGGGAAATCGAGAACGTGTCGCGGTCTACGGTGATTGCGGCGCGGAACGTACCTAGCGGCAGGGGTCTGTAGGTGGCGGCACCTACGATTAGCGGGTTGGGATGCGCGGCGGCGGAATCGAAGTATCGGCGCGACGCCGACTTCAGGAATTGAGCGATGGTGGGCAACTCTAAATCGACATGAAGGTCGATATTGCGCATGTACCAGGGTGCTCCCGTGGCTCTGCGCAAAAATCGATTTTGGATGACCTGAAGCCGGTGAATTTGCTTCGGAGCAATGTGTGCGAAAACTGGACTCGCGTACGTCATAATAGGGCGAACTACTGCCTTATATAGAGTCACCTTATTCCGAAGGGACATTTTAGACGTTTTGTTGAGGAGCGGATGGAGGCGACCGAGTACGAAGGCCGCCCGGTTCTTGACCCGAGTCACGTGCTGGTTAAATCTTAGTTGGGAGTCAAGGACGACACCTAAATATTTAACTTTGTTCACCCATGGTATCGGACTATCCATGAGTTTGACGGGGGGTGGTTTATCTACATTTTGTGCGAAAAAAGGACGGCCGCGCTCTTGGCGGGATTGATTTCGATCCTCCATTGCCGAAACCAGTCACCGATGGTGATGGCTGCAGCTTGGAGGCGTCGATGGATAATTTCAGATGTTCTGCCTGCTGTATAGAGACAGGTGTCGTCGGCAAATAGGGCAAGTTCTACATCTTTGACTCGCGGCATGTCATTGGTGTAGAGCGTAAAAAGGACTGGGCCCAACACCGACCCTTGAGGCACCCCGGCTCGAACGGGATGCGTTGTCGAACACACGCCTTCGACGCGATAGCGAAAGGTCCGATTACTAAGGAAGTCTCGTATTATGCATACGAGACGATCGGGCACTTCGAGTTCGTATAACTTGTATACGAGCCCGTTGTGCCAGACTTTATCGAAGGCCTTTGCCACGTCCAAGAAGAGTGCTCCGGTGTTGAGTCCGCGTTGGCGTTTAACTAGTATGTGCTCCGTGATGCGGTGCACTTGGTGGGTACAAGAATGTTTGGCTCTAAAGCCAAACTGTTCCGGGACGGGGAGCCCTTTGGCGTCCATAAGGGATCTCAGTCGGGCTAATATAAGTCTTTCAAAGATCTTCCCAAATGTTTTGAGAAGACTTATTGGACGGTAAGAGGTTGGGAGGGTCGCGGGTTTGTGGGGTTTGAGGAACCCTATTACGTCAGCTTCTTTCCACTCGGACGGGAAGAAGCCTTCGGTTATAGCCGCGTTGTAAATTAGGACTAGTATCTGAAGGATGCTAGTAGGGAGAAGTTTGGTCACCTTATTGGTGATACCATCTGATCCAGGCGCTTTGCGTGGGCGCAGTTTGTTAATTACTTCTGTGAGTTCCGAGCACGTGACCGGGGGAACGGGATCGCGGAGTGGTTCCGATGCTTTCCTTTCGACCTCTTCGTTCACCTTACGGAGGTGATCGGGGTGGGTCGGAAGCAAGCTGGGGGAGCATTGGGCCTCTAGACTGTCAGCTAGGCATTCGGCTTTCTCTCTTCGTCCAGCATTGCTGGCGTTCCTATCGGGCGAACTAGTGGTGGCATGTTTGGTGTGGCAATGCCCTTGAGGGATTTGGGAAGTTTCCAGAAGGCTTGGTGGGACGGTTTTATCGAGACTAGGGTGGAGTCCCACCGTTCGTTTCGTGAGTCTGCTATACGTGTTTTGACTTCACGTTGCAATTTACGTAGCAGTCTACGATTCGAGTCGGTGGGATATCTATCATAGGCGCGTGTGGCCGCATTCTTGCGCCTCAGTAAGTCTTGTACATCGTCTGGCAGGGCCCAGCGATGGTCGTCCATCGCTGGAACCTGTCTCGAGCATTGCTCGACGACGGTGTTGACGTGACTCGTGAGGGCCCGAATTGCGGTCTCCGTGTCCTGTTTGTTGTTAAGTTGGTCGGGGATCGATTCTAATATTGAATTGGATTCTGTGAGTTTGGTTTTAACTCTATGCCAGCTAATGACTGTTTTAGTTTGGGGGGCGGCTATTGCTGGGGCCCTAGCCGAAGGAGGACTGGTCGGTGATCAGAGTGAAGCTCGTGGATCACTTCCGGGTCGCGAATGGTCAGATTGATGTCTTTGACGACTGCAATATCAAGCACATCCGATGATTGTCCCTCTATGTAAGGGAAGTGCGTATGTTCGACTGGGGCTACAACTTCAAAGTCGAGCCTGTCGGATAGCGAGTCGAGTGCGGTGCCTCGACTGTTGGTACGTGTCGAGTTCCATCGGGTGTGCTTGCTGTTGAAGTCGCCAGCTAATATGGTGGCTCCTCCTATGGAGAAGAGGGCCTCAAAATCGGATTGCAATATAGTTGCGGTTGGTCTGCACGGGAGATAGACTGATACTAGAGTGATGGGAGAGTGGCCAGTTAGTGCCAGCTGACAGACGGATGCCTCTAGATGCGTGAGCGCGGGCGTGTCTACCGGTACGCAGTGGAGGGATTTTTTATAGTAAATTAGTGTGCCGCCGCCCGGGGCGCCGGCACACTAATTTTCTAACTATCCGATAGTTGGGGATGTGCGGATCCCTTGTCGCGGGTTTCAGGAACGTTTCCTGAATTAGTAAAATATCTATTTGGTGGTCGCGTAAGAATATACGTATTTCGTCGCGTTGCTCTTTGAGCCCGTTCGCGTTGTAAAATGCTACATTTATCGATCGCGGTTTGGCTCTGCCGTTATTACGCGTGGCAGAGGGACTATTATTTTCGTTATTATTATTCCTAGTTGTGCTATCCATATTGGTTTACACTGAAAGTGCAGCAACTATGTGCTGGTACTGTTTTAATAATAGTAGGCGCGAGCTGAAGTTGCCTTCGTCATACAGCTCGGCAAAGTGCATCACTTCCGCCATGTCTACGGTGCGGAGGAGTTTACTCAGCGAGTCCAGGGGGGTTGCCCCCGGCCGCTTTTGGTGGCTTTGGGATGAGCGCCGGTTGAGGGGCAGGTTTGGGTTCCGCGAGTGGCGGATTCGGTTTGGCCCAAGCGGGGGCCATGGGTTCTGCCACGCGGGGCGAAGAGGAGGGAATGAGGCGGCCGTTGGAATCGGCTGCCGTCTTGTTGCCTGAGGGGCGGGCCTGCGCTTAGGTGCGTTCGGGCAGCCAAGATAATTAGCTGTGTGTCCTTCCGACTGGCAGAGGACACATGCGGGTGGACCGTAGTTGGCCAGAAGGGCCTTGTCCCTTGGTCTGGGACATTCCGGGGTGCCGTGGTCGCCTAGGCACTTTACGCACCTGGGCTTGGCAAAGCAGTTACGGGCGGCGTGCCCGTAATTCTGACATTTGTGGCACTGTCCCGGTAGGGTGGCCTTGTGTGGCGGTTCAATGACAATATTGGTCAGTCCCATGACTGACTCGATATTGAATATCGCTTTCCCCTCTGGAGAGAGGTCTAGATGTACCATGACCATGTCTATGGGGCTGCGCTTCCTCTTGCTTTTCATGCGGTGGACCGCATGAACGGGGAGGTTTTGCTCCTTAAGGGAGTCAAACACCGTTTCGGTGGGGATATTTGCCGGTATACGCTTGATGACGGCGCGTAGGATGCGATCCTCGGCCAGCGTATACGTGTGGTAAAACACCTGTTTATCCCGTAGGAATTTGGAAACTTGGCGGTGGGCGTCGGCAGTTTCAAGCTGAAGCTTGATGCCTTGTGCGGTAGTAGTGGCTACAAATTTTAGCCTGTTCGAAAGGGCGGAGGCAATCATCGGCCACTTTTCAGTGTCCCGAATGAATAGTGGCGGTGGGCGCTTGTCCTGCGGCGCACGTGGGGCTGCGGGAGGCGCGGGGGTTGGTTGCGAAGCAACCGGGGTTGAGATCGCTGAAGGCGATGGGGTTGGCTTCGCTGAAGGCGATGGGGTTGGGATCGCTGAAGGCGATGGTTGGGTGGGCACTGAGGGCCCGGCTACGGCCGATTCGGTCGGCCTTGGTGCCTTAACTGGCGGTACGGGGGACGTGGCCGTTGAAGACGGCTGGGAGGGGCGCTTCTTGCGCTCTTTTTGTTCACCACTTCGGTGAACAAACCTCCTTTGGGAGAAAGGGGCGAGTCTAGCTCCATTTCCTCTTGCGAGGAGGAGCTCGCTGCAGCATCATCGGTCGTGCTGGATGCCCTTGAGGAGGGTCTTGAGGTGGGATGCGGGGGTGTGTCCGTATCCCTCCCTGCCGGGTATAGGCAGGGAGGATGAGTGCCTATTTTGTGTGGCCCTAGTGCGTCCTTGTGCCGATCTTATTGTGCACGCGGGTGTGTACTTATAGCTAATTAAAACTACCCGAGGGCGCTAAAAGGCCAAACGTGGACCACCGCTGACTAGGGACTACACCCAAGGCCAGTGATGGTGGTCCTTCCGAAAATTCGCGGTTCTCAGAAGAGAACCGCAAGGCGATCGGGGCAAGCCTTGGCTAGCTTCGTTATCACCGTTAGGTATCCACTAGCCCTAAGACGTTAAACAGAACCGCTGCTAAGCGCGTTGGTCGGCGCAGTCAAAACTGCACCTCGCAACTCGACTTGCGAGCGGGGTGCCCACTCGTAATGAAAATTACGAGCGAACGCGGCGCGCGGTGCGCGACGACTGAGCGTCCGCGGCGAGCGAGTCGGCACGCGGAAGCGGACAGGGGTGGGGAGTAACAGAGTAGAGAGAGCGCGTGCCAAGGCGTGCGTTCGTCTCGACTGCTGCGACCGGAGGTGTATGGATTTCATGTAAGTATTATTTATAAAAAATGTTTGTATATTGTGTGTAATAAATATTGGCTTGCAACAGTGAAATTGTTGCATCAATTGATTTTCTTTCTTTTTTGAATGATTGAGATTTTTAAAAACTTCTATTTCTATTCAATTTTTGAATCTATGATTGTTTTTAAAACAACATTTTACAATTTGGTATTTAGTTATCAAGTTCATTTATTGTCTATTTCACAAACTGGCATAGGGGATAAATTTTTTATTGATTTTTCTTACGCTTAAGTAGTATAACTTATTATGTGCAAACATAAGTACACACAATTTTTATTCTTTTTCGCTAAAATTGAAATTTTCTGAACAAATTTATAGTTTAGAATAGTTCTGTTAGTTTCTTCTGTAACCATGTCAATACATATGTAATAAATATTATAGCAAAAGGGAAGGTCGTCTGAAAGCAGCTTTTAATTTGGTTACACGTGGAATTACTAATTTGGTTGTGATTGGTGGTGATGGTTCCCTCACTGGTGCAAACCTTTTCCGTCAAGAGTGGTCAAGTTTACTTGATGAGCTACTTAAAAATAATAAAATCACTCAAGATCAAAGAGAGAAATATAAATATTTACATATTGCTGGCATGGTGAGTTCACATTTTATGTATTCATTAGACATTTAAATTAATTTAATACTTACAGTATTAAATTAATTTAAATGTCTATTGTCATTGATGATACATGATGTCATTTCATCATCAGCTGGAAGAGGTCGATTGTTGATCAAAGGGGTAGACCCTTAGAGCAAAGCTTATTACATTTTTTAATGATTGCCTAGGATAAAATTAATTATTGCCACAAATATCAAGAACTTGCTATTTGAGAATTAACACTTTACATTTATATTTAATTTGCGTCTGTATTTAATATATTATAATATATGTACATATGTTAAATAGAGATGTGTATATGTTAAATAGAATTTATTGCTTGCTTTTAGGTAGGTTCCATTGATAATGATTTCTGTGGTACAGACATGACAATTGGTACAGACTCTGCCTTGCATCGTATCATAGAAGCTATTGATGCCATTGTAAGCACAGCATATTCTCATCAGAGGACATTTATCATGGAAGTAATGGGAAGACATTGTGGGTAAGATATAACTGTAACTATTTTTTCAAGTATCATAAAAGAGTTTGGAGATTTGAAACATGTCTATAATTTATTGATATAGATATCTTGCTGTGGTCGCAGCTTTGGCATCAGAAGCAGATTTTGTGTTTATTCCTGAGGCGCCACCTTCAGTTGATTGGAGAGATAAACTTTGTGATAAGTTAGAACAGGCAAGCAATGCTAGAAATTGCCTTGGTTTCACCTATTTATATCCTTTGATTGCCAATGTACCAATATGACAAGTCCATCCTCAATGTTAATATCCTTATAGTTTTCTTGCAGTTTACACCGCACTTTGTACGGAAGCTACTTATAGTTTTATTTGCGAAGACCCAGCACCTCTCAATTGGGAGAAAAAAATGTGTACTAAAATTGCTGAGGCAAGAAAATTATACTTTTTTTTTGTAATGGGAGCAGGATCACTTACATGTCATTCCACTATCTTCAATATTTGGTGTAGCCTAAACACTTGTGGCATTTCTTACGTCTTTGACTTTGTTCATTTTAAGTCATTATATTCTTTCACTTACTTACCTAAAATGGGTTCCATATGCATGTTTGCTATTGTGCTCGGATGCTGCTTGTTGCAGTTATCTGGCATTAGTGGCCGCTCTGGCAAGCGAAGCGGACCAAGTATTCATTCCAGAGGACCCTGTTCCCAATAATTGGGTTGAAAAACTTTGCAAAAGGTTACAGCAGGTATGCAGGTTTAATTGAGTGGCACTGGTAACATATAACACACAATTGCAACAAAATTTTGCAATACAGCTCTGTTATTGTATTATACTTAGAGAGAATGTTGTGTGATTATCCTAAATAATCCATTATTCTTTTCACTAGCTGAAATTTCACATTATGAATTATTCTATTACTTTTTGTATTTTTTTTCTTCTTAAGTCACTGGTGTCCTTTTTCCATTATTTTCGTATACTTTTGTATTATGGGTTTAATTGTGTGTTGTTTGTCGAACTTTGTTGCGGTCTAAACGCTTCTTTGGTAATTTAATTTGCGTTGCTATTTCCTGGGTTTAATAGAAAGACTTGACTAGTGGCTTGACTACCATGCATGTTAAACATAGTCAATAAAGGACTGGCTTAATATAAATTAGCACAAGATAAATATTATGTTTTTGAGCTGATTTAGGAAAGGAATGAAAAGGATACAAATTTATGTTGTTATTGGTATATATAGGAACGAAAGTCCGGGCAGCGTCTTAACATTATTATAGTGGCTGAAGGTGCCATCGACCGCGAAGGGAAACCAATTACTGCGGAACTAGTGAAGAAAGTTGTTGTGGATAATCTTCAGCAAGATACAAGAATCACTGTCCTTGGTCACGTACAGCGGGGCGGTTCGCCATCAGCCTTCGATAGAATCTTGGTGAGTATAGACTAACGAGCAAGCAGACATGAATGTCTGCTTTATTTAGAATTTTACATTGTGCATTGAAGTTTTAAATATACAAATAGGCCTACTAATAAAAATATGTGGTAAGGGCTGTCGCATGGGAGCAGAGGCTGTAATGGCGTTAATGGAAGCAACCCCTGAAACAGAGCCTTGCGTTGTATCCTTGGATGGAAACCAAGCTGTTCGTTTACCTCTAATGGAATGCGTACGACGGACCAAAGCTGTGGCTCAGGTATGTCTACAAAGTACTTCGTGAACAAATTGAATTTTAAGCCATTGTTCCAATTAAAATGAGAAATTTGTGAAAACTTAAGAAATTTTGGCAATTTTATTCCAAAGGGGTTTATGCCAAAATGGTCCTATTTAAATTTCATGTCGTGACATACAACAGAACTCTCCAAAAAATGGAAGCAAATTAACCACGACTGCTGCTATCGCATAATTATGTATCGTTTACGCAATCCCCGTGATAGCTCAGTGTCCGGGCACTCGCCTTTGATTCAATGTTCCCTATTCGAGCAACCTGAGTTCGATCCCCGGATTCGGCACCAATGACATTGTCAATTTTAAGTGTTGAATCATCACGTAGTCAGCGGTGATGGGAAACATCGTAAGGAAACCTGCATATTTTCGAAATAACAAAAAAATATTTCGAAGATATGTGAAGTTCGTCAATCCGCAGTGTGGCCTATGCCTAGGCCTATGTCACAAGATATATCGCAATTTTATCATATTATAGTTAAATTTTTGCAGGCAATGACAGACAAAAATTGGGACCTCGCCGTGCAGTTGCGCGGGCGCAGTTTCGCCAGAAACTTAGAGACGTACAAAATGTTGACACGCCTAAAGCCACCCAAAGAAGCCTTCGATGAATCTGGTAAACCATCTGTAAGTAACTCAATTACTTAAAAGTTACGTTTTTCATTTCATAAATTTTCTACACTATGTTAAAAACTTAGAAACGAAATCGAGTAAGAAACATCTCTTTTATTATCCATTGATTTAGTACTGTGTTTTAATGTGCCAATTGGCACATGACCGTAACCTTGAGTGATTTCGTCATTGGAACAGAATATTTTCTTTGTTTACTAAGTTAAAAATGTTCAGTTTTTTATTTCATTGAAATCGTTTCTAGGGTGTTAAAACAAAAGATAGGGTGACGACCGGATCTATAATTAAATTAAAACCTTCTCGATATCTGAAGTGTAGATATCCTTTCCATAACATAGAATTATTATAAACCAGCGACCCGCCCTAACTTCGCACGGATGCAATATATGATACATATAAAATTTCCTCTTGACATACATATAAAACCGCATCAAGATCACTAGTTTTAAAGATCTAAGCATACACAGGGACAGACAGACAGCGGGAGGACTGTTGAATTGTTTTATACTATGTAGTGATTTACATATCATATATACACTCCTTTGCATATTATCGTAGGAAGGTTACACTTTAGCCGTAATGCACGTTGGCGCACCTGCCTGCGGTATGAATGCCGCCGTCCGCTCTTTCGTGAGGAACTGCATCTACCGCGGTGACACAGTTCTCGGCATTCACGATGGCGTCGAAGGATTCATCAGCGGAAATATCGTCAAAATGGACTGGTAATTTTCCTGGGGTTTCTTTTACAACTTTCATAATCTCTTATGATTTCTTGACAGCGAAAATATAGCATATTTTATTAAAGTAATTCAGATTTTTATGCCGTAACATTTTTTTTTTGGATTGTTAATGTAAGGGCGCATTGAGGTATTAAAGATGATGCATGCAGTCGTATATATATTATAAGTAGCGGTTTATTTCCATTACAAGTGTCTATGATAACCTACTGGGAAAATTCAAACTTTGTCAAATATTATAGAAATAATTTTTTTTTTGTTACTTTAACCTTAAGACACATGAACGGACGACCATAACGTAGATCGTGCGTTCATGTGTCTTAAGGTTGAACGTGAAGAAATATAAATGCTATTATGTGTGTACTTAGGTCACCAATAATTTTTCAATATGAAATATTTACGCCTAGGTCGGACGTGACCGGTTGGGTGGCTCAGGGTGGTGCCTTCTTGGGCACGAAACGTACTTTACCGGGCGACAAAAAAGGGGAAATTGCTGCACGCATCAAACAATTCAACATTCAAGGCCTTCTCATCATTGGTGGTTTTGAGGTATTTTTGGGAATACTTTCTGATTTCAAGCTGAAAGTCAAGACTATTCACTTTCTTCTTGTCTAAAGCAATTATAAAAAAAAACCTAATAAACTATCGAAATAAGACCCGGCAAGGAGTTTAAAAACTAAACAGGTGAAATTTAAATTTGAATATTGGTAATCTCTGCACTTGGATAAAACATTAAAATCCGAAAAAAGTGGGATTCCCGTCGGTGCAAAAACTTACACGTCTACTTTTTTTCTAAAAATGTTAACTTGACAGGTGGCAAAAGCGGAAAAATCATCTGAGTAAATTCGATTTTTTTTTACATGACAGGCGTATCAGGCCGGCCTGGAGCTCTACGAATCCCGGGCACAGTTCCCCGAGTTCTGCATCCCGCTGGTCGTGATCCCGTCGACGATCAGCAACAACGTTCCCGGGACGGACTTCTCGCTCGGCGCCGACACGGCCCTCAACGAGATCACCGAAATATGCGACCGCATCAGACAGTCCGCCCAGGTGCAGCCGAATAACAAAAATAAAAGTTCACCTAAACTTCAACGTCACCTAAACGTCACTTAAACGTCAACAACTTAAAGTCAGTGAAGCTTTTTATTATAGCCGACGCATGTCCATACTGCGCGGCGTTTAAAAATTATTCCGCTTTACATTATGTGATATAATATGTATATATGATGTAGAACGTATGATACGGAATGAGATAGCAGTCTGTAGATTTGCAATCTTATTACGCTCATTAGCGTAAATTGAGCGCCTCAGTTTCGGTGCGCTTATTGACACTAGTAGATATGACTATCTACCTTGTATTTGTTATATACAATATAATATTATTGAATTAAAGTAGTAACAGACGATCGAACGATAACGATTTACTGAGGACTGCTCTGAATCCTTATGAAACATACTTGCATAATCTTTGGAGGCCATGTTTCTCCTGAAAACTTTTCATATGAAAGATATAATGCGAGTAACTAATGAATTTTGATAAGATTATTTCAGGAATCAACAAGAAACTATTTCTCTTATTACAGGGAACCAAACGTCGTGTGTTTGTTATCGAGACAATGGGTGGATATTGTGGTTATTTAGCAACATTGGCCGGTACGTAGCTTTTTTGTACTAAAATGAAAGGCATGTTGGTAGTCGAAATAATACTTATATTCAAATTTTTAATTTTTTTTAAACTGTGCTAATCTCCGAAAGAGATTGCGTTTTTACGTTGCTCCTTGTTTTCTTTTATTTGAGCGAAGAAAGATATAACGTAATGAGAAGGGGAAAGAGAGCTATAGCTATATCTAATACAGACTTTAGGCTACCGTCGTTTCCCTTTCGTCTTTATTTAAGAAGTTTCACTTCGTCCACAAGCTGTAGAGGTAATTTTTTAAATGATATTTCATATTTTCTCATCAGGTCTGGCCGGTGGCGCGGACGCAGCTTATATATACGAGGAGAAGTTCTCCATCAAGGATCTGCAGCAGGACGTGTACCACATGGCGTCCAAGATGACGGGTGGTATACAGCGCGGCCTCATACTCCGCAATGAGAAAGCCAACGACAACTACAACACCGAGTTTATTTATCGTCTGTACTCAGAGGAGGGCAAAGGCTTGTTCACCGCTAGGATGAATGTACTGGGTATGGGGTTTTTTTTTCTGATAAGGTTAACGCTTACGTATTTAATTGTCTTACATTACTTTATTCAATTTCGTTTTTTTTTGTTTTATAAGTTTTATAATAATTCATGATCATTTTCCATTTTCCAAATATTTGATTATAATAGTAGATAATATTCATATATTTTTGTCTAGTATTAAAATCTCATATTATTATTAATAAGATAACAGCTGTTTAGTGCATCCTGTAAGTAGAGGGGCAGTTTACTTGTATTAAATGTTATATTTATCCTTCGTATTGTTTATTATACTCATTGGTGGAAAGTCAAATACATAAATCTCCGGCTGGAGTCTCTCTGGAATCGTTTAGTATGTTGGTTATTTGTTACATAGCCCTATTTGGTTAACGGTTTCAGTCCAAGCAATTGGATCGCGATCCATCACTAGTTTAGATTATATTTAGCTAGTGATGTTTTAATACAAAAACCGATAAGAGTGCAACACAAATAGAGCAGTTATTTTGTATCCCAAACAATAAGTCGATCATGATGCATTTCAACATGAGATAAAAACCCAGATGTGGTATGAAATATATGTACATATATGAGTTCTTTTAGTGGGAGGCGTCTTCAATGTCGTTTATTGCGAAGGCGATTAGTTATTTTCTCTTCAAGGTCACATGCAGCAAGGAGGCTCTCCGACGCCATTCGACCGCAACATGGGCACCAAGATGGCAGCCAAATGCCTGCATTGGCTTGTGGAGAGCATACAGAACGGGCCAGCTAACACGCCCGACTCGGCATGTTTGCTCGGTGTGGTGAAGCGACAGTATAAATTCACACCACTCGAAGATCTTAAATCGCAAACTAACTTTGCGTAAGTATAACAACATATTAACAGAACGATAATCACTTAAGTTTTGTGAGCTAGAGTCTTTTTTTCTTCAAAAATTAGATTTCTTCTTTCCCTGTATGAAATTATTCTATGTGAACAAGCGGCCGAATAGTTCACTGGGCAGCCCAATACCGAATAGTTGATCACTATTCGGCCGAATGCCTGAAGTTTGCAAGAAAATCTATAAATAATTTGAATGAAAAAATAAGTAAGTACAGTAGAGGTTTTTTTTTTCATTTTGGAGTTAAATCAGTTATCAGCAAATCACAGAGAGTACGTATGTACTACATAGTCTCACACATAATTATGACTAACTACTTCATAATAATCATAAGCTTGGATTTGGAAACATATTAGTAGTATCAGGATGACACTTGAAAGTTTTTAAAACTGGCCAGTTAGAAACATTGCCCATGAAAATTTCTTTTAAATTTAAATATAGAACAATTTGGTAACCTAATGTGATATATTGCATTCATTTGTCATTGTTTTTGTGAATTGGCGGCAATTTCAAAACTATTTTTTTAACCTTAAAATGAATTTAACGTGAGAAAATTTTCGGTCCATGTTTTATTAAGAGTTTTGTTGTGGTCTAACTCAATAAAAAGGATATGATAGACTTCGATTGACTATTAATAATTAAGTACCATCCTGTGCCACTGTTTAGAATTGGTTTAATGAGTTTAAGCGTGGGCGTAGCCATCTCTGTGATGATCTGCGTAAATGACGTTCTTCATCAGCGATATCTGAAAATAGCATCAGTACTGTGCGACGCATGATAGAAGAAAATAAGACAGTGACCTACCAACAGATTCGGAGAAGCTTAGGCATTGGTATATGACCATTTATTCATCAAGAAACTTTGTACCAATCGATTTCCCATACTTTTACCGAAGCCCAGAAACGACTTCGCATGGATTTGTGTCACGATTTATTTAAAGGACAGCAACCTCGGCTGTTGCACGAATGGGCAGGCTCGTCCGGGGAAGTACCACGACCTCACTGAAGACCGGCGTAAAGTGGAAGTAGGATACTTTCGCGTTTCGTCTGGTGAGTGAGGTGGCTGGAGCCCAATTTTCAAAAGGTTGTCTACGCATCTGCGAGGGTTCCAGGATGGGTGTAGCATAGATGTCCATTCAGTATAGATGTCCATAGGCGGCGGAATTCACTTGTAGGTGAACCGCTTTGCCACTTTTCACATAAAAAAGAAAAACAAAATGTTAGAAAAATTCTACGGAAGTGACCCTAATGCTCTGTATTGCGCATCATCACAAGCTGAAAGCTGGATATGCTATGAACCCGAAACTAAAAGACAATTTGACAAGAGGAATTATCACTAAAATACCCCTAAGGAAGATTGGGCTCACTACTTTCCTCAGTAGTTCCATCGAATGTGAACGAGTGAATATGAACGGAGACTACTTTGAATAACAATAATAGTATTGGCAACTTTCTACTTTGAGCCGTTATATGATGTTCTAAGAACTTTCGGTGTGACCCAGTACACCACGTTTTTGTGTGACAATTTGGTGTACTGTGACAATGTTGTTTCGTTTAGGATTAAATTAGATATTTTTTTCAATGATATTTCAATTCTTTTCTTTTAGGCAAAGAATCCCCAAGCAACAGTGGTGGATGAAAATGCGGCCCCTACTTCGTATCCTGGCCAAACACGATTCTACGTATGAAGAGGAAGGCATGTACATGACTGTCGAACAAGGAGAAATTGACTCTGAAAACGTCATTTAAACAAATTTTCTCTCTTTCGAATAGTTCTCTGACAACAGCTATTAAATTAACATTTTAATTAATGTTGCCATATTTCGAAAAAATTAATGTTTAGAACGTGTATATGATGATGTGTTTACCTAGTGATGTGCATTTGCATTTTAGTAGGATTTATAATAATCGCTTGAAAAGAAATAAAAAAATAGGATTTGACAACAAAATGTTTGAATATTTTTTTAATTAGATAAAAAACTCATTATATGTAAGTTCTTTAAGCAATACAATGCCTATCTCGTTTTTAATTATAAATTTATTGCAAGATCAGAATATATACAATCCATTTCAATAGATGATGGTAGGTATTGGTTTACAATATTTAAATAATTATATAAAATGAATCAGTAATAAAACTATTCATAAATGACACTTGATAACTTTTAGATTCGGAATAAAAGGAAAGTTAAATTTCATCGTTTCTATTTTATTTATGAATATGAACACGCTCGGCTCGGCTTAAAATATTTAATTTACACAAATAAATACAATTTCAACTCCAACGTGTAATTTAAATTATGAGACATGGCAAGTAGGTAACTGGTATTGTATTAAACTGGACACTATGTCTAGATTGTTCTTTGTGAATGAATTTTAGCAGTATTTTATAAGACATTATTGTATACACTTTTATTTAATTTATTCTAGATTAATATTCAAAGAAATCATGGCTTAATCTATCAAATTAACGTTAAACAAGTTGATAGAAACAAATACTGTATAATTTTTACAACATTTGTTACTAGCGTAATAAAACATATTTTTTCTGGTTGTTGCTTTTTTACTCCCCTGGAAAATTTGGAAATGCTAATTAGTTTGTTAAAAATACGATGATACGCCGTACGCGGGACATTGATATTAATATACTAAAGTGGCATTACGAAATAAAGTACCAAATTGTTTTATGTACATTTTTTGTTTAAAAAATACTTAGGAAACTTAAGGAACTTTAGGAACTTTAAATAGGAACTTCATATACCTGATCCATATTTGTATGTCAATGCCCTGCGTATCAACCTATATTAAACAGATTGTAATAAATACGCACAATATGGGTTTATATAGGTAATTACTATATTAGAGACAAAATCACACTGCAGGTGCGGCTATAAAATGTGGGCAGAGTATATGGCGTGCAACTTTTCCAGGTAAAAGAAAAAGGGTATATGAGTATGAGAACGTAAAAACGAGCTCGATATTTTTTTTAAGTTTATAAGGTCTGCTTAGCTGAATTCAATTTAAGAATACAAAAGAATAAACATAGAAAAATGATTGAATTCTATACATAGCAAAACTGAAACATTAGGTACTTACAAAGGTTGACTTACTGATAAAAAACCGTCCAAGTGCGAGTCGGACTTCCGCTCGATGGGTTCCGTACCATTATCTATAAAAACTGCAAAAAAAGTCTTGTATCGGAGCCCCACTTAAATATTTTATTATTCTGATTTTTAGTATTTGTTTTATAGCGGCAACAGAAATACATCTGAAAATTTTAACTGTCAAACTATCACGGCTTATTAGATACAGCTTGGTGACTTTCTGTAGTATTACTTTACTCTATGTTGGTGACAGACCGACGGATGGACAGACAGACATCGAAGTCTTAGTAATGGGACCCTCCCTTTGGGTACGGAACCCTTAAAACGGAAAATTTTTAAATTTGTATATAAAACCAAATAAACCATAAAAAATATAAATAAGCTATCTATTTAACACGTCCGGTTCCTTTATTCAAAATTTCTATTAATTTCTCTTATATTATTTCAGTTAAAAATTCAAATATTGTTCGTAGCGACGCACTAGCAGATAAATAAATAAATATTTTAGGTCACATTTTACACAACGTTCTCTAGTCCCAAACTAAGCAACACTTGTACTATGGGTACCATATAATTGATAGACATACTTCAACATACTTTTATCCTGCAAATAAATACATATTATACATGTGTAAACACCCAGACACTAAAAAAACACTATGTTCATCACACAATATTTTCAGTAGTGGGGATCGAACCCACACCCTCTTGCGCAGGAGGCAGGTACACTACGCCATTCGGGTCGTCAATGTATATATTGCTTGCAAATAATTCGAATAGGAAAGCAATAGAAATTACGCGAGGTTACACTAACAAAATGAATGTGTACGTTTTTCGTTACGAATGGGTCATGTCCATCGCCTGGTTTATAATCGATACTATTCTATTAGTTGTTTAAAACTACACCGTAAAAATCAAATTGAGAAAAACTCGCTTTCAGCTTATCAGACTACCCTCTCTAAAGATTAGTTACTGAAATCCAGTTAGTCCAAAAACACCTGGAATTGCATATTTGCGGATTTTTTTTTTATATGAGAAGTTGTCAAGCGAGCAGGTGGTTCACCTGATGTTAAGTAAATTCCGTCGCCAATGGACATCTTAAACACGTAAGGGCTTGCATTTGTGTTGAAAACCTTTTAGAGAAATAGACCCCGGTTACCTCACTAACCACGAAACGGGAAAGTATAATACATTCACTCCTCGCCGGTCTTAAGTGAGGCCGTGGTACTTTCGCGGACGTTTGCCCATTCGTGCAGCGGTAGAAGTTGATGCGTGGCCTTAAAATCACAGTTAAAACAATTTTATCCGATTTTATTTTCTAAGTCCAGATTGATAAAAATAATTAAAAGATAAAGAAAAATCAGTGACCGAGATGACAAAATTTTTAGATTATCGATAAGTACTTACAAAAATAAAGCAGTATTGGTGAGAAGAAGGTGGGAAGTTCTCGAGACTAATATATTTATAACATTATTCATCATCATTTCAGCCTGTTTGAGTCCTCTGCTGAACATAAGCCTCCCCCACAGACTACCACGAAGCACGATCCCAATCCACCCGCATCCATTGACTTTCCGCACACTTGCACTGGTCATTCAATCTGGTGGGGTATCCGACTCGAGAACCTTCAACACTTCAGCTTACTAATCCTCTGAGCCATATCGGTTATCTGCGGATGTCTTTATTGCAAACTCTATCACGCAGATAAATACCAAGCATCGCTCGCTCGATAGCTCGCTGAGCGACTTTGAGCTTTCTTATACGGCCAGCAGTAAAGGACGGATTGAATACTGGTCTTCAGACATTGAGGGATACTAGACGAGAGATTACAAAATTATTATTTATGTTCATTATTATTTTGCTCACATACATATTATTATTCATAATTTTAGGTCTTTCTGAGAATAAGCACTGAACGGACACCAGTGTACAATCGTCACGACAGACATTCCTATATGGTCAAACCAGATGATTTAAAGAGCCCTTAGGCAACGAGAGACGACTAATAATGTCCCACATTGGAATCGAGGAGGGTTTCGTGGATGATGGTCATTGGTCAAAAAGCGAAAAAGAGGCTACATGCTACCACAAGGAGATGAATTAACCTATGAATTCAAAAAAATCGAAATCGATTTTTTTGGAATTCATAGGTTAATCGATTACGGTAGCTAACTATATTGCTACCACCCCTTACTACTGTGAGTTAAACCTAATTGAATTGGTGTAGGCTCAAGTAAAGGGTCATGTGCTAAAAATAAAAAAAATCATGTTGAATGAAATACGCAGTCTTTTTGAAGGAGGATTTTTCCAATTGACCCTACAGCAGTGAAAAGGCTGTAGCTCATATACCTATTTAAAATTGAAGATGTGTTTCATCCGGGTCATGTAGTCGGCGAAATTACTGATAGATTTATTAAAGAAGTAGGGGAGTCTGATGATTCAGAATATTCTTCAGTCATGTTATTTGAATCCGATTAATGAATACCTGTAAGTACTGCTTTATTTATATCTGTACTATATTAACTACTGCTTTATTTATATCTGTACCTTATTTATTTGGCGTTATTAAGTTTTAAATAAATAGCTACACATTTTTTCAGAATAACATAAAAAACTATATACTTGATCTTATTAATGTCGATTTATGATAGTGCCACATCACTATTTAAGAATTGCTGGCGACCCACGTAGTGAAGAAAATATCGATTATTCATGTATCGATATTTGTTAAAATATTAATACCAACTTCGTTAGCTTGAAGAAAAAATAACGATATATCGGTAAAATTATTAGAGATTCTCGTTTTTAAAATAAGTTATAATAATAGATTAAAATTCAGTCTGGCCCAAGGTAATAGTAATTTTTATAAACTATGCTAATTATTTTAATGTATTAAAATGATAATAAGAAAGAAGTTATTTAAGCATTATTCCTAAGGCAGATAAGGCAGAATTTGAAATATTCAAAAACCAAATATCGATCTTATCGTAATATTTTTAAAACCTATTTATTATTTCACGCAAATCTGTATTTGACCGATAGCGAAAGTAGTAGAAAAGAGAAGATAAAGAAAATTGTGTTTTATCCATGAATGAGCCACATGCGACAACAATTAATTTTATAAAACTTTTCATTAATAAAGATTAAACCATTTATGCAAATATTAGATTTACGAAAACTTGTTTACAGAAATAATAAGCTTACTAAAATAAAATGTTTTGTTGTAAGCAGTTCTAAAGCGGCCTGGCAATTGGCATAAAAAGACTTCGTGAGTAGGCTGCGAATCGCTAAATTTTGTAAAATAGCAACAATAAAAAGCAAGAGATTTTTGTAAAATATTTCTTATTGTCCACTTAACCATGTGAATGTTTTTGCGCGAAACAGATAAATCTATCTCAAAATATGTATTTTATAGATTGTAATAATTCATGCAAAAATTTTTAAATAGCGCTTAGATGATGAATTATTAATGATCTTGGATTTAATTTAACAAAGTACCGTGTACATTGCTTTTCTTTTGAAACTCTCGTTTTATTGAGGAATATTTAAGCGTTATTGAAATTTGTTTGTAATGTTTGGTACATCAATAAATTATAGTTATATTAGCTACAGTGTTACAATATTAAAACCATCACTCTTACGGAGACAGGTCACACTATTCTTTCATCACTAGTGTTGTAGATTGTAGATTTCAGTAGCAACACTGTCGTAGTGACTGCTGACATGATTGAGCTGTACTGCTCAAAATGGCTACCACGAACGACTCAAAGGCGCCTTTGCGCCAAGTTAAAAGAGTACAGTTTGGTATATTATCCCCTGATGAAATCGTAAGTTCTTATTATAGTATAATTTTAAGTTATTTATTATTAAAATTATTAAATATGTGTCCAAAAAGTAAAAATGACGATTATGATTACAATATTTATCACGTAGTACACTCCTCGTCCATGTTATGTTATTCACTAATCACTAATGCAAAGTAAACTTAACGTCATTTAAAGTTTTCTTTTTATTGATACAGCCAGATACAGCCTTTATATAGATAAAGCCAGTTATTGTAATAACCAATTATTAGTCCGAGGATCTCTCCGTTTCAAACTTTTACAAATTGCACAATAGTGAGGACAAGATGGTGCTCGCTTTTTTAATTTATATGAAAATTTGATAATAACATTTTAGCGTCGTATGTCCGTCACCGAGGGTGGCATTCGCTTTCCCGAAACTATGGAAGGAGGAAGGCCGAAACTTGGCGGCCTTATGGATCCACGACAAGGGGTGATCGATAGAAGCTCCAGATGTCAAACGTGCGCTGGAAACATGACTGAATGCCCTGGACACTTTGGGCACATTGATTTGGCTAAACCAGTTTTTCATATTGGATTCATAACAAAAACAATAAAAATATTGAGATGTGTTTGTTTTTACTGTTCCAAGCTTCTTGTCAGCCCGGTAATACTACAATTTTTTTAATGGAAAGATAGTACATTAATTTGCCATTAGTATAGACTATTAATGCTATCATTTGATGTTTTTAGACAAATCCAAAGATAAAAGAGGTTGTCATGAAATCAAAAGGGCAACCTCGTAAACGATTGACCTATGTCTATGATCTTTGTAAAGGTAAGAATATATGTGAAGGTGGTGAAGATATGGATATTGGTAAAGAGGGAGAGGAGGGGAAAAGGGGATCAGGCCATGGCGGTTGTGGTCACTACCAACCATCTATACGGCGTCAAGGTTTAGATCTTACAGCTGAATGGAAACATGCAAATGAAGACACTCAAGAAAAGAAAATTATTATCACAGCAGAAAGAGTATGGGAAATACTTAAACACATCACAGGTAAATAATTAATATACTTTCAAATAAATGTCTGAATTATTTAAACTTCCTGAACTTCCATTTTCCTCCATCATTTTGTTATATATGTAGATGATTATTGAAACCAGCTGTTAGTCTCTATATACCCTATCTAATGCAGGCATAAATATGTATGCTACTTAAATATTTTTTATTAAATATATTTTTTATATTTTGTAGCTGTTATGACATACAAATAATTATTTTAAATAATATGTATTCATTAATTTTCAGATGAAGAATCTTTTATATTGGGTATGGATCCTAAATTTGCTAGACCTGATTGGATGATAGTGACAGTATTGCCAGTGCCACCATTGTCAGTGAGGCCAGCTGTAGTAATGTTTGGTGCTGCTAAAAATCAGGATGACTTGACTCACAAACTTGCTGATATTATAAAGGCAAATAATGAATTAATGAGAAATGAACAGTTAGGCGCAGCAGCCCATGTGCTTGCTGAGAATATCAGATTATTACAATTTCATGTGGCCACATTTGTAGATAATGATATGCCAGGAATGCCAAAGTAAGTCACCATAACTTAAGTGGAGAAATGAAATAAAGGATCAATATTTATTTAGTTACTATCAAGTTCATATTTTAATGACTTTCTAATGTTAAATGGTCTTTTATGTGTTAGACAATGAAAAAATTTGTGATATACTATTTTTATTTGTACATTATATTTACATTGTATGCTTACCATTAATACGACTTTGCTAATGCCTTTTTGTTTTGATTAGACATCAAGCTATGGACTAATATAAAATAACTTTTTTGATGAATGAGTTTTATAGAACTTAATTGTAAATATTTACTTGTTACAGAGCTATGCAGAAATCTGGGAAACCCCTCAAAGCTATTAAAGCACGTCTGAAAGGAAAAGAAGGCAGAATAAGAGGAAATCTCATGGGTAAACGTGTGGACTTCTCTGCTCGTACTGTCATTACACCTGATCCCAATTTACGTATTGACCAAGTCGGCGTTCCACGGTCTATTGCACAAAATTTAACATTTCCTGAATTGGTGACGCCTTTTAATATTGATAGAATGCAGGAGCTGGTTAGAAGAGGGAATGCTCAGTATCCAGGAGCTAAATACATTGTACGCGATAATGGAGAAAGAATTGATCTTAGATTCCACCCAAAGTCATCTGATCTGCATTTGCAATATGGTTATAAAGTTGAGAGACATTTGAGGGATGATGATTTAGTTATTTTTAACAGACAACCTACACTTCACAAGATGAGTATGATGGGTCACAGAGTGAAAGTTTTACCATGGTCAACATTCCGAATGAATTTGAGTTGCACATCTCCATACAATGCTGATTTTGATGGTGATGAAATGAATTTACATGTTCCTCAGTCAATGGAAACTCGTGCGGAAGTTGAAAATATTCACATAACGCCAAGACAGATTATTACGCCACAAGCCAACAAACCTGTTATGGGTATTGTACAAGACACATTGACAGCTGTTAGAAAAATGACCAAAAGAGATGTCTTTTTAACAAAAGAACAAGTAATGAATCTGCTTATGTTCTTACCCACATGGGATGGTAAAATTCCACAACCTTGTATATTAAAGCCTCAACCACTATGGACTGGCAAACAAATATTCACTTTAATAATTCCTGGAAATGTTAATATGATCCGGACTCATTCAACTCATCCTGATGAAGAAGATGATGGCCCATATAAATGGATTTCACCTGGAGATACTAAAGTTGTGGTAGAGCATGGAGAATTACTAATGGGTATCCTTTGTAAAAAATCTTTGGGTGCCTCAGCTGGGTCCTTACTTCACATTTGCATGTTGGAGTTAGGCCATGAAACTGCTGGCAGATTTTATGGTAATATTCAGACTGTAATTAACAACTGGTTGCTATTAGAAGGCCATTCAATTGGTATTGGTGACACTATTGCTGATCCTCAAACTTATCAAGAAATTCAGCGTGCTATTGTTAAAGCCAAAGATGATGTAATAGAAGTCATTCAAAAAGCTCATAATATGGAGCTAGAGCCTACACCAGGTAATACTCTCAGACAGACCTTCGAAAATCAAGTAAATCGTATTCTAAATGATGCTCGTGACAAAACTGGTGGTTCAGCTAAAAAGTCTCTTACTGAGTACAATAATCTTAAAGCTATGGTAGTAGCGGGTTCAAAGGGATCCAATATTAACATATCTCAAGTTATTGCTTGTGTGGGTCAACAAAATGTTGAAGGTAAACGTATTCCATTCGGGTTCCGTAAAAGAACACTGCCACACTTCATTAAAGACGATTATGGTCCGGAATCAAGAGGCTTCGTAGAAAATTCGTACCTTGCGGGTTTAACTCCATCAGAATTCTATTTCCACGCTATGGGTGGTCGTGAAGGTCTTATCGATACTGCTGTAAAAACTGCTGAGACTGGGTATATTCAGCGTCGTCTGATAAAGGCTATGGAGTCAGTTATGGTGCATTATGATGGTACAGTTCGCAACTCAGTCGGACAACTCATTCAATTAAGATACGGTGAAGACGGTTTAGCCGGAGAAACCGTAGAATTCCAAAATCTGCCAACCGTCAAACTGTCTAACAAAGCATTTGAGAAGAAATTCAAATTTGATCCATCTAATGAGCGGTATCTGAAGAGAATCTTCAATGAAGAAATCATAAAAGAATTAACAGAATCAGGTTACGTTATATCTGATCTTGAAAGTGAATGGGAACAGTTATCTAAAGACAGAGAAATATTGCGACAAATTTTCCCAAGTGGTGAATCAAAGGTTGTACTGCCTTGCAATTTCAAGAGAATGATCTGGAATGTTCAGAAAATTTTCCATATTAACAAAAGGCTCCCGACAGACTTAAGTCCAATTAAAGTTATACAAGGTGTAAAAGATTTATTGAAAAAATGTGTTATAGTAGCCGGAGAAGATCGTTTATCTAAGCAAGCCAATGAAAATGCCACACTTTTGTTCCAATGCTTGGTAAGATCAACACTATGCACTAAGTTTGTGTCCGAAGAATATCGCTTATCCAGCGAAGCATTTGAATGGTTAATTGGTGAAATTGAAACTCGTTTCCAACAAGCACAAGTAAATCCTGGTGAAATGGTAGGAGCCTTAGCTGCTCAGTCACTTGGTGAACCCGCTACTCAGATGACACTGAACACTTTCCACTTTGCTGGTGTGTCGTCGAAGAACGTAACCCTAGGTGTACCTCGACTAAAAGAAATTATCAATATATCAAAGAAGCCAAAAGCTCCATCTCTAACTGTATTTTTAACCGGTGGTGCGGCCAGAGACGCTGAGAAAGCTAAAAATGTCCTATGCAGATTGGAGCATACTACATTACGAAAAGTTACAGCAAACACTGCTATTTATTACGACCCCGATCCACAAAATACAGTTATTGCTGAAGATCAAGAATTCGTTAATGTCTATTATGAAATGCCTGATTTTGATCCTACTAAGATATCTCCTTGGCTCTTACGTATTGAATTGGATCGTAAAAGAATGACGGATAAAAAGCTAACTATGGAACAAATTGCGGAAAAGATCAACGCTGGCTTTGGAGATGATTTGAATTGTATATTCAACGACGATAATGCTGAAAAACTAGTGCTGCGAATAAGAATTATGAATAACGAAGAGAGTAAATTCCAGGACAATGATGAAGAAACTGTTGATAAAATGGAAGATGACATGTTCCTCAGATGTATTGAAGCTAATATGTTGTCCGACATGACCTTACAGGGTATAGAAGCAATAGCCAAAGTATACATGCATTTACCACAGACTGAAGCTAAAAAGAGAATTATTATCACAGAGCAAGGAGAATTTAAAGCAATTGCTGAATGGCTGTTGGAGACTGATGGTACATCTTTGATGAAAGTGCTGTCTGAACGAGATGTTGACCCAATACGAACATTCAGTAACGACATTTGCGAAATATTCCAAGTTCTTGGAATCGAGGCTGTACGTAAATCTGTCGAAAAAGAAATGAACGCTGTATTACAGTTTTATGGGCTATACGTAAACTACCGCCACCTTGCTTTACTTTGTGACGTCATGACTGCAAAGGGTCATCTTATGGCTATTACTCGACACGGTATTAACAGGCAAGATACTGGAGCGCTTATGAGGTGCTCTTTCGAAGAAACCGTCGATGTTCTGTTAGACGCTGCAAGTCATGCTGAAGTAGATCCAATGAGAGGGGTATCAGAAAATATTATTATGGGACAATTGCCGAGAATGGGAACTGGTAAATGTTACATCTTGTTTTTGGGAATTTATTTTAAGTCCATGCTATATTATATTCGTTAATGTTTCAGGCTGTTTCGATTTGCTTCTTGACGCTGAAAAATGTAAACATGGAATGGAAATGGGAGGTCTCGGCGTTGGTATGGGTGTAGGTGGCGGAATGTACTTTGGTGTTGGTACTCCATCTATGACACCTTTGATGACTCCATGGTCTACACAAAATACACCAGGTTACGGCAGTAGTGTTTGGTCGCCAGGTCAAGGTAAATGAATGCCACCAATCACAAGAAGAACAAAATATAAAATACTTATATATTATGTAACATGTGACAATAATAAATTATATTTTTACAGTTGGCAGCAGTATGACACCCGGCGGTCCATCATTTTCGCCTTCTGGTGCATCAGACGCCTCTGGACTTTCTCCAGCATATAGCGCCTGGTCTTCACAACCGGGTTCCCCAGGTTCCCCTGGACCACCGTTATCGCCTTATGCTTCACCAGCAGGAGCATCACCTTCATATTCACCAACAAGCTCTGTATATGTCGGTGCTTCGCCAATTCAATCAAACCCTAATTATTCACCAACTAGTCCTTCATATTCTCCGACATCTCCAAACTATTCGCCCACATCTCCGATATATTCCCCGACTGCTCCAAGTTATTCACCTACATCACCGGGATATTCACCAACGTCTCCGTCGTATTCACCGACCTCGCCAAGTTATTCACCAACGTCACCAAGCTATTCGCCTACCAGTCCGGCGTATTCGCCTACTTCTCCAAGCTATTCCCCCACTTCACCTAGATATTCACCAACGAGTCCGTCATATTCGCCGACCAGTCCATCATATTCGCCTACAAGTGCAGCCTATTCCCCATCCTCTCCGGGCTATTCACCATCTTCTCCAAGTTATTCACCAACAAGCCTGGTCTACAGTCCAACTTCTCCCGGTTATTCTCCATCATCACCAAATTACACACCGGCATCACCCGGCTATTCACCATCAAGTCCATCGTACTCACCAACTTTGCCCGTCTATTCCCCGTCGTCTCCAAGATATTCACCGTCGTCTCAAAAATATTCACCAACATCGCAAAACTATTCACCGACTTCTCCTTCAGTTGCTGGAGGTAGCCCTACCTATTCACCGACTAGCCCACAATATTCTCCCACGAGCCAGCATTATTCGCCTACAAGCCCTGCCTATTCAGCCTCGTCTCCGCAACACCCATCAAGTACTCCTTATTCACCGTCGTCTCCGAATTATTCACCATCCACACCTAGCTTCACGCCGTCGTCACCAGGTTATTCACCTAACTCCACTAAATATTCACCCACATCAACCACTTATACCCCAACCTCGCCAAACTACTCACCAACATCACGGTACTCTCCATCGTCCGCTGGCCCTACAACATATTCTCCCACATCACCTACTTATTCTTCTAATTCTCCATCATACGATGACGGCGACGATTAAACTTATGTATTATTTTTACTCTTAATTGTAAACATTATTTTAAATGCTATAAGGCACTATAAGAAAGCAAAAGCATGGACTGTTGTTGCGGTCACCAAAAATATTATTTTTAAGATTACCATAAAGATAGTATAAGAAGTTTCACTCTGGAAAAAACAATTACTTTTATGTATAATTTAAAAATTATTAGACTATAACAACAACAAAAATTTGTTATTAAAAATGTTTTGACGAAATCGTACTGATTTAGTCTGTTTAAAAGTGATTTTTATTTGGGTTTATTCCTTGTAATACGAGATAATTAAAATATTTTTAACGAAATTTGAATATATGAAATAAATCCTAAAAACACATTTTGCATTTTATTAAGTGTTGATAAGTATATGTGATATTTAGTATTATCGAAGACTTGTCAGAGAAAGAAATTCTTAAGAAATCTAAGTAGTAGAAACCTAAACAGAACTAATTAAGATGACATGAAATGTAGTTGTTACACAGCAGGTATTTTTTTTATGGAGAAAAAGGGCAAACGAGCAGGAGGCTCACCTTAGGCTAAGTGATTACCGCCGCCCATGAACACCTGCAACACCCGAGGGCTCACAAATGCGTTGCCGGCCTTTTAAGAAAGAGTGTGCTCTCTTTTTGAAGGTTCCCAGGTCGTAACGGTTCGGAAAGACCACCGGCGGCAGTTGGTTCCACAGAGTGGTTGTGCGAGGAAAGAAATGCCTTAAAAATCGCGCTGTTGTGGAACGCTGGACATCGAGGTGGACATGAATTTTAATTCCCTATATGCTTGAACCATGTTTTTGAAAGGTGGTGTGAATGATTGAAAAGAAATTTGGGTAGAGGTTAATCAGGGAACTGACGGTTTGTCAAACGAAAATAGCTGCAGATAGCAGGTTCGCAGGTACTTAAGATCTAGTACTTGCTCCTTGTTAATTTCGTCACCGAATTCTTGGGCTACTGGATCAGCGCTCAATATGTCTAGTAATTCAGATTGAACGTTGTCTAAATAAGTGATGAGTGGTAACACTTACTACATTGTGTAATAAATTCTATTTACTAATATCGAGGGTGAAACTCGAATATAATCCCGGATCTAATACTATTTTTATTTATTTATAACTCATATATTTCTCATCTGCAATGACCTTGTTACAAAGATTGCCAAGTATTCTATGGGGCACGCAGCCCAAAAAGGTTCGATTAGTATCCGTGGCTGCGGATGCAGTTCAAATTGCGTTTTTTCAAACAATTGTCTACCTTTATGATTGGACTAACTCCCTAACTTTGTGATTGGAAATGGATTGAAAGTCGTTACGGTAAACTTGATCGTAGGCTCGGTTGAGTCAACAGTTGATAAAGCTTGTATTACAAGATAATCTATAAAATAGACTTTAATACTAAAATAAAAAATATTAAGAACTAAAATACTAATGAACAAAATACTAAAACATTACAAGATATCTCGCAACTCAGTTTGCATGCAAAGCCCTCGTCTAACTTTCCTCACTGGGTCCAGCCACTCGTCACTTGTCTACATAAGTTAATCTGATCATAGTTTTAAGTCTAGAGAACCACGTAGTACCTCCGCGTTCCACAAAGCTAAAGGTGAGAAACTAAACACTAGAGTGATTTGTAGGGGGCCTTGAATAAGGATTCTCTTTCAGATAGTTTTTACAGATCAAGCAGGCGGCTTACTTAATTTTAATGTATAACCATTGCCCATGAACATCCACAATATTCTTGAGATCAGAAATGTATTGCCCACTTTTAAAAGTGTTGCTCTGGGTCCCTCACCTCACCCACAAGACAAAACACGAATGTAATACTTCCACTTCGTACTGTTCTCCTAAAATGCCGTCGTGCTTTCCAAGACGTGTCTACCATGCAACAGCAGAAGCTCCTGCGTTGCGATGAATAAATTTTCTTCACATGAATCAATATTAAAATGATATATTTGTACATTCGAAATAGGACAATATCATAAGGAACGTGACTAAAAACACTTCTCTCTACCACAGTGGTTGAGGTTTGTTCGTGTGAATTGTACTTGATACCCACAATGAAAAGAAAAACTTTTTGAAGAGTTATAAAAAATTGTGCCAAAGATACTATATTCTTTTAAACATCAGATAGTGTAATCTTTCCGAGTATATGTATAACCGATAGTGCGTCTAGGCTTATTGCTTTGAGTTTTCTTCATATGATATATCTGTTTGGCCAATTTTTCGCCAAAAATGTTTAAATGAAACTGTTTTTATGAATTCATCATATTTATTTTTAATTACATTTTCCAACGATTCGAACCCTATTCAGCGTTCATGGCCACGGAACAGACAGAAAATAAACGCTGAAAACGTTTCGAAATGTCGGGCAAATATATTAAAAATAAACGTGCCTAAATACTTATATATAGTTTCATTTAGTAATGTTTTAACGTGTTAATATAAGAAATTATCATACACAAATTATATACTAGTATAGGAGGGTTACAGGAATTTCGTCGGGCGCTTTAGTTTTAAATAAAATTAAGTGTTTTTTATTTCGTTATTTATTACTATAAATTAACGTATAATATTGAAATGGGTAATATATATTAAAAATTACTTAACTAAGTAACATATTTGGAAGATCCAATAGGAAGTTTAAAAATTACTAAACGTGACTAAGGCGGGTCCTAGAAGATCATTTGAATTGCTATATATTTATTATACGACCGTTAAGTATTTCAATACATTTGTAATTGCATAATAATTTTTGTAGCCGCAAGCTAAATAAGACATTGCTGTTTCGAAAGTATTGTCTTCAATGATTAATAAATTAATTTGACTCTCCTGAATTGTTTGTTTCCAATGGATTGTTCCAAATAAAATTGTTCCGTAACAATTTTCCCCAATTACAGTATTTTTTTCATGTAGGGTTTAACTAATTAAACTCTACCATTTTCTAATCATTACATTGTCGGTCACCTCTTTATTTTCTTCTTGTTATATTTGTATTTTCAATTATGCTTTTGAATTATATAAAAATCTTTTTTATTTGGCCATTCATAAAAGTTTCTTGAATGTGCATTAAACCGTTTTGGTTCAAGTCTTATTGTTAAAAACTAAAAACGTCGCATTTTTATACCGTATCTTAATTAAAGTCTTGCACAAACTCAAAGCTAGTCATAATGTATAGGTACTTAGATTTTATATTCCTATTGTTAAAAGCCAATTTAAATATCTACATGTGTAATTTTTATAAAAATCCTTAATAGTCACATCACTGTCAATTAAGCGGCCTGTAGTATTATTTTTTAACATTTATAATTCTTATAACAGCCTTTCAACTTCTTTTACTTTTGTTTTGTATAGGTACTTTTAAAATTATTGATAAAAATTGGCTTTTATAAATAATAAATACGACGAATCATTATTATTCTCTAACAGTTAAATCTTATGTATTTGCGTAGTAAATCTTCCATATTTACATTTTATCTAGTAAGCAATTATTTATTATTTAAATAAAAATGTTCAAAATTACAAACTTACATCAAACATTTAGTTTGATTATAAAAGTATAATAGACAATTATAATAATACTAGTGTGATTTTATAAAACTCGAACACAGCCATTTTATTTACTATTAATTAATTAATTAATATTAATTACCTTACGCTACGTTTCGTTATACATAGTGAAAATAAAGTAATAAACCATGTTTGAAGAAAAAACCTATTCTTGGGGATTGAAAATATAAAAAAATGCTTTTTTGTTACACATGCATGTAAAACTTATTTCAAACCCAAAATATGCCGTAAATTTCATTATTTTTTATTATGTTCCGTTTTTTTACTTTCCTCTATATATTTCAATAATGCGGTCCTGGTCTACGTATTCAAATATATGCGGGGCATCCATAAGAATCCCCACAGTACCAGCTGTTGTCACGATGAAAAAAATGTATAACTGCAGTCTATCGATGACCATTGCCACGTATTTCCAATCTTCGCGCGTCTGAAATATTAAAATACATGAATTTTAATATAAGCACAGATTAAAATCAAGTAAGAATTTTTTTCTGTTTCTATTTGACAAGTGTGATGTTTTACTGTCTATAATAAGTAGTAAAAAAAATAAGTAGTGTACTGTTTTAAAAACTTCAATTGTTAGGTATAACTAATACAATTTGAGCTCGTGAACTTGCGATGTTATAAATGCACCTGAATGTAAAGATCCTCGTTACGTAAGTGCTCGGCTATGAATTCAACGGCCTCTGTTGCTTTAGCGGCTTCGGGTGACAGTAGCAGGGAATCGGAGCTCTCGGATTCTCTTCTTTCGCCAAGTCCAAGGCCTCCGAGAGCGCCGAGGCCACCCAGGGCGCCGACCTCACCACCACCAGCGGCGCGGTTTATCTTGCAGTTCGGGTGATGGAGGTCCGACAGCTCCATTGCCTCCATTTTGCTTTGTTTCGCACCGATCGCACTGTCAAATTAGTTTCCTAAGTTCTTTTTTTATATGAACAAGAAAGTCATGAACAATGAAGCGGTCTATTAGGTAATAGATCTTGAGATACTGGGTATAAATCTTGTATATGTCTCAACCTATACTGTACTGGGAGCTTTTGAAAAAGTCGTTTCGGACTAGTTAAATAACATGTAACTCATCGCACTAATATAAAACAAAATAGAAGTTTGTTCCGAACAAACTGTCTTTAGCTCCTGGCTTTTAGATATATGTTTGTATATGTATTTCATACATGTATATCGGTCGATTTTTATCAAAATTAAACATTTCTTGAATTAGACACTAATCTCTTACTGAATTTGACGAATTTTATCGCGTAAAATTTTTATTTCATTCCCTAAAATTCGAACAATTTACAAAGCAACAAAATGTTTTTTTACACATTTTATTACATTCACAAGAATAGAGCAACCAGGCTATATAAAATGTGTAAGATATATAATTATTTTTAGTTATTACCGTAAATAAATATTAGTTCATATATGCTCATGAATGTTTGAATTGCATTACCTAATATGTTTGGGTAAGTCGTGAGGGGCAGCGGCGTGGGGCGGTGCTCCCATCCCGGGCATTTCCATCATCCATCGAAGCCGAGTCTTACGTGGTCGACGCATAAGTAGGGCTGCTGGTAGATAATGCAAGAAGACACTTCTTATCCAAAGAGGCATCCTGTAAAATATTTAATGAAGTTTAAGAAAAATACGCTGTTTGCTTTTGTTACTTTTAATTACGACAAAAGCAGATGTGGCCGGTGCCATCGAAATTCAATTTCCACCGAATCCAATACATCAATGAGATCTGCGTTTTTCGTATTACTTACATACAAAATCCTTGTTTCATTTGTACTCATCATATAATGACTTGTTACTTTTGAGACGATTTGCAATTATACAGTAAGTTATAAAATACACTATAAAATAAAACTTTAATACGGTACCTGTGAGTTCTAGGCCCTCGGAAGTTCCAATTTATTATGATCACTGTCACAAGTATACTCACGGTGTTCATTATAAATGTAAATAATAAGTATTTTGCGATTAACGGTAGCACAAGTGAAGTGGGTGGCAATATTTTTGACACCAACAGTAGAAACACGACTAGCGAGAGCAGAATACTTATGCCTAACGTAACCTGTAATAAAAATGAAACATTAGCGTTATTCCCAATGTTTATGTTTATGCTATTACTTTTTCTTCGCGTTTACCTTTTCCCCTGCCTCAGCAGGTAAGTAAAAAACAAGAACGCAGAGGAAGGAGATCAGTACTGTCGGCAAAATTAGGTTGACGGTGTAGAACAAAGTCTTTCTTCTTATAATAATATAGAAAGTTATATCCGTTTCAGTGGGATGGTTCCCTTCATAAATATTTAAATATGCAGGTACTTCTATTATATCCCACGTTCCCGATTTCCAATAGTCGGAGAGATCGACGAAGTTTTTATTGTTGTAGAGCGCAAGAGAGACTTGATCACCGTTGAAGGTCCAAGATCCAAATTTCATGATGCACGTTTGTTGATCAAATGGAAAGTAAGTTACATCGATTGTGCATGAGCTCTGAAATGGAAAATTTAAGAGTAGAAAATACACTTTACTCAAAAGTGACTAAGGTGACTGAAATAAAAGTAATTAGAGAGAATGTTCGTAATACTAACATACTGCTTATTTTGGGAATTATATTGTTAATTTGTTTTACTTCAATAGGATGGGAAATGAATAAGTGTTCATCTTGTAGTAACTGAGGTATGCCACCAATGGGCACTCTCGACACCTAATGTTGTAGGAGGTGGTGCTCCGGGTATCTCATTCACAAGACGAAGTGTAAATAGTACAAATACTTAAAGTTTACACCAGTGATCTTCGTCGTGGTACAACCCCAGTCGAGCAGAGCCAATTCGTGCAGCAGGGGTATTCACGTTAAGAAGCTGTTATGCTTTGACACAGTGAAATAAATGTGTGTAAAATTAAGAATTGATTTGATTTGAAATTCACCTGGTAAATAGCTGGTGGAACCCAAAGAACTTCGCCATTGGGATAGATCAAAACATTAGATTTATACCGCACTTCGTAATTGCCATCAGCGCTGTCAACAAGAAAATTGAAATTCTAAACTCAATGTTCATCCATACATATATCATTAAAAACATAAATTTGTTAGTTCGCTTGGTTGTTTATTATTTTTTATATAAATTGTTTGCAAGCGAGCAGGTGGTTCGTCTGATATAGTGACTACCGCTAGTACCGTCTTTACCCTAAGGGCACACGGGGCCCTTGCCCAGGGTCGTCACGCCCCCTTCCCCCTGCATTGCTTACGTATTCGCTTAAACTGTTAAAAAAATCTCTATTTTTGGTAGATATATTACGACAGAAGTTTATAGAATAAATAAAAAATATAAAATAATAGCAGAAAAATGTTTTTTTTCATTCATTTTTTACTTTCCATCAGGGATCGGAACTGTTATGGAGCGGAGATGTTAATTATCATTAAAAACGTCACTCACCAGAAGAAACGCGAAAGCATTTACTTCCACTTCACGCCGTTCTTTCGTGGTACCTAATTCCCCAGACCAGCCTGCTCATTCATGCAACAGCAGAAACTCCTTCGTGGCCCTACTATTATTCCCGTAAAATTACTTAACCTTTTTTGTTTTGACCCTTTAAACCCTTTTTCTAACCCTTTTTGTTTTTACAGAAATGAAAAGCTGTTTTCTACCAGACTGATACGGTCTATATTTTATTAAAATAAATTTTTGGGTCGAAGACTATATTTCTATTTCAATCCACATAAAAACAAAACTAAAAGCATTAAAACTGACATATGTATATTCACTGTTGTTATATGACAAATTTTTATTCTTGCAAAATTTGCGTTAAGGATTAAATATTCTTTTCTCTTATTTAAATAGTCTTCTGTGAGGCGGTGAGTGCCGAGCTGAATGCTTCTATCACAGAAAAAGACCGGAACCATGCAGCAGACTTAAATTTATCTGTTAGTTAGAAGCCAGAACGAATTTAGATCTTGTTAATTAAGCTGTATTAACAAGTACTAAGTTCGTTCACCATCAATTTAGAAATGATTTAATTCTATTCATTTATTATAGGTGCGCTTTTATGCACTATTATGCACTTAAGCATTTCCCATTACTAATTTATTATAGCAATGATTTAGTCTAATTATATTTGTTTTTCCACTCGTTCATTAAATCTTTAATCAATAGATTATTGGCACTAAACATAATACGGTATTATTGCTCATCTACTTCACAAAATTCGAATAAGATTTTATTGAGGTCTGAAATAAGTGCATTAAACAATTGCTTACTTGTTGAAGAGTACAATGTCGGGTTTCCACACCTTATCAGGGGGCAGGCGGAGCACCCCGATGCCACCATAATCAGCTTCGTCCCACATCAGTTGGTAATCCATCCAAACTAGACGCAGCCATACGTTCGATTTCATAATTTGATTTTTTTCGTTCTGCAAATTAAAAATTTTGTGTGCTACAAGTGAAGTATTATTATAAAGAAGATTATACTACTACTCGGATTTTTTTCATTTTATGGTTTACATCGTTACTTTTTACTGCGGTTTCTAATAATGATTATTTAATTTTGTAGACCTTTGAAGTGGTACTTGTACACCGTTAACATCATTTAATTAACTCAAAACTGAAGCGATTTAGAAATAAAAATGTATATAGCAATGTAAACATAATATTACCTTCGAAGAGAAAACGTAAAATCACGTTTCAGTCAATTTTGTTTTTCGGTATCAGCCAAACTATTTATATTTATCTTTGGACATTCATCATTCATCATTTGGACATTCGTCATTTTATTTTGGACTGATTTTATTAAAAATTCGGAACAATGCCAATTGACACGTTCGATTTTAATATTTAGAAGCATACTTACAACGTTGATCAGCTGTACGAAAGCCAGGCCGAAGCGCACGTCCACTTTTTGCGTCATGTTCTGGACTGGGCGAATGAGTTTGTTATATCCCCGGAACAGATCGCGTACCAGTCGCTCTTCGTCTTCTGAACACCATCCTGGAGACGATGTTCCATATTTAAAACAAGCATCATTTTTTCGAGTACTAGTTGTTAAAAAAATTGTATAGTGGGAAATCGTTCGCGCATTCCGACTTTTAAAGAAAATCACAGGTATAAGGGGTTTTTCGATTTTAAATATATCTTGAAATGTTTGCACTTTTATTGAGCAAATTTATTGTTTGATGTTTGATGTTGCCACTTCGTCAGAGTATTGTAAAGTATTCATTGAGTTTCGACTGACGCTGATGCAGTGTCAGATCAATAAGGAGATCGCGAGATAAAATCACAACACCGAGTTATGTATAGAGTGTAATCAGTCTATATTATTCTTATTATTTTTAAGCTTTTATGAGGAATAATATGTATAACTTTATTGAAATACCGTAGTTTTATAATATAAAACATCTTGACCAACAATTTTTATTAAAAAAAATGATATCTAGGATTTCACCGTACTATTTAGTGCTAACTACTTCTGAATATGATATTCATGTTTGATACAGTGCGGAGCTCACCACCGTTTTGGTGTGGGTATATGCTACTAAATAAATCGTAATTGGCGTTGTACCTGAATAGAGTACGGCAAGGAGGGCTACAGCCAGCACGGGCCCGCGCGACCCAGCCCTCATGGCGGCGCGCACTGACGCATTCGCCGCGTCTCCCTCCGCGCCGAATCACAGTCTGCCTCGGAAAATTTTCGCAGTTTTGTCAAAACGTTTTTCAACAATGAGTTTACATGTACATTAATAATTATTACATTAAGTATCTTTAGATTGTTACTTTTGTAAATGTTATATATTTCAATCAATCTCAATTGTTAAAATTGTGGATCAGACGTTATTACACAAATGTAAGAAGCTAAACTTTATTTTAAAATATAAGAGACAACAAACAAAATTGTTTCAGTTTTATTTAAAGAGAATAACATTTTTAATCATTGTGATTATAACATTTTAATTATTATGATTATAAGTATGTTAAGATATTTAAATTTCTCTGATTTGAGGAACAAATGTATAAAAAAAATAGCAAAAAGTATAAAAGAACAATATAGATGTAAGATACGAACTAAAACTGCATTATTTTGCAGTAAGAATATTTTAAGGGTTTGAAATCATTTAGATTTGCTTACCACTTTTCGGGTTTTTGTTTGTTTAAAAATTATAAGTCAAACGTTTGAAAGTTCGAGATATATGTTCACAGCCATACATGTAGCTTTCGTACAGAAATCGAATTATGAATTTAAACTACGCCAACGGATGCCATACTCAAGTAATAAGATAAGGTGGCTGAGAATGTTCTTATTTTTTAATTTAACTATCATCATCTCATTCTCTCATTGAGTCTACTGTTGAACGTAGGTCTTCCCCACAGACCGGCCACGAAGCAGGATCCTGAGCCACCTGCATTCATAGACTTCCCAAACATTTGGACAGGTCGTCACTCTATCTAGTGGGGGGGTGTCATCCTACACTGCGATGGCCAGTACGAGGCTGCCCATGGCAACTTCAGCTTGCTAATCGTCTGAGCTATGTCAGTTACGTCGTTGCGAACTCTATCTCGCAGAGAAATACCGAGCATAGGCATAATTTTACTATTTTTAATGATAATTTACTTAAGCCGTTTTTCAGTTTTTTTGGTTCATTTCATGGTTGCTATTTAATAGCAACCATGAAATAAACAATAAGTATTAAAAATTTTGTTAACTAACGATATGCCCTATTTTTCATTTGTCAAATATTTCGATTTATATAGACAGATAAAATGCTAGACAGGTTTCGGAGCACGTTTCATTGCTCCTAACGATCAGGATTGACACTTTCCAATCATTACCAGAGTAATTCGAATATTTATACTTTTTGAATAGGCACTTTTCTGATCTTCCCTCTTTAGTTTACGTATTTTGTATAAGTTCATTAATAAAACCTTTAAACAGGTGTATTAAATCCTCAAATTAGTATTTAATTCAATCAGTTTTATTGCATTAAGTATAACATATTTCTAATAATAATATAGTTAGAAATATGTTAAATATTTTTAATATATCAGTTTTACTTTAGGGACAGTCAAAGTACTTAAGGATTTAGTACGAATGAGGATGATTAAATTATTGTGAATAGTCCTGCCGCATTGTACTGGGTACTTATATTAACTTTACGTTGTTTCTGATAGCGCTTAGCGCGCATGTGCGAGTTATCCCTCGGGATAGAATCGATTGTCTTCAGCTACCGAGCTGACTGGCTCGGGTTAATGTCTCCCTGGGAATATAGGTCACCTTCAATATTGAAAATGGTGGGAGCAATTACAAAGTAATGAATTGGCAACAAATAAAACAACGCTATATTAATTCGTTTATATTTAATAACCAAAGTGCAATTCAGAGTATTAACCCTAACAATTGAACAAATTATAGGGACGAACGATTCGTCCCAACGTCGACGATAAAATCTCGCATAATTACACAATCGAATACGAAGTATCTTTTGACGCGATACACACTTATGCGCTGAGATTATCGTCGGACACAACCGCCTTTGTGGTTGGTTAGATAAGATATAACAATAAATAAAGACGGGGATAAAGAGACGTAGAAAACATCGGGCCAATAATCATAGACGCTCCGCAACTTCCAAAGGAATGCCTACGACAATTTTATAGCACCGCCTCAGAAAAACAAAACAATGTTTAGGACTTTTGCGTGGGTACATTCTGTTCCGTCGTTGTATACCCACGCAGTTCCTTATTCCTTTGCGTTTTATTTTTAGGAGGCTCACAATGTTTTCGACGATAAAAATAAAGTAAAAAACCTTGTAAGTCGATTATTGGGTGTTAATAATAGATGAAATATGAGCGGTTACTTTGAAGATGATACTGAGATAAACATTCTTGCATAACAATTTTCTTATTTGGTTCTCGTTGAGAACAGCAATTATCGTAATGAACAAAACATGGCGATGATAGTGAATTTGCATAACAAAGAAAACATGTTACATCCAAAAGTATTACAACAATGTAAATGCCATTTTCACAAAAGAGTTTTTCCATAAAAGCTAATATTGTTTCAGCATCAATATGAACGTATTCAAATAAGTAGGTACCAACATGATATTACCATGTAATGTAATTAATTGTATAAGTCGTTCCGAAAGACCCACGTATGAATTTAACAAAATAATATCTTGTTATACTACAACTTTTAACGAACGTTTTATTAAGCTATTTAGCCATGGATATTTTACCATTTTATAACAATATCGACCCGTTCACAACGAGGCATATCACAACCTGTACCAATTGAATCAACATTGTTTGTAAAGTTCTATACTAGCTACGGACACAAATATATCCGAAAATAAACTTAGGGAATATAACCACGATTCACGGAATCGAATAAGAAGAAAACAAGGGGCCAATGCTTTATTGCCCAAATCTTAGACTGTACATAGAATTAAAGATTCAAGAAAGACGTAACAAAGTTTTTATATTTTAAATGCGACAGGTCGTTCAACGGTAAGAAGGAAGACGTTTTTGTGCTAATTTTTTCAAAACTAACCACAGCCATAGTTGTTGCTGTGGTCGTTTGAGCTGGCGACTATTCTAGCGTGGACTCCTATAAGGGTTGGTGCCAAATAAGGCACCTACTGCCGCTTCGTTTCAGCTGACCGATCTCGGAACCGAACGTCTAATCGAAACCACTCATCATAGGATTGCTGGCTCTCGGCGTACAACTATTATTGCTTATTAAAGATGAACCAATCCAAGCATTTCAAACGTTCATCTTAGTTTTGGAGGATAGGAGACATGAGCCGCTCATGTTCATTTTCAAATGTTAAGGGACATTACTCGGGTAGGCAGTTTTGGGTTGAGCGTATAGGGATGGCAGTCAGCGGTAACTTATCACTATCTATAGGGCGGTGCCGGCGCGGAGGCGGGCGGCGGCAACTCCTACGCCGCGGCGTCTGCGCCAGCACCGAATCGCACATCACAACTTAACAAGTATTCGGGGTATCACAGAACGTTACGCATGCGCAGCCGCAAGCGGGCGGGTCGCTACGACACCATGATGTGTGGCGCGGACAGCAGCACGGCTAGCGTGGCGATGATTGTGAACAGGGTAAAGATAATAAGGCACAGTCTGTCCACGACCATGGCGGCGAATTTCCAGTCGCGCGAAATGTCCGCGTCTTCGTCATCTTTGCGCATCTGTAAAGAGGGCGTTGATCAGAAAAAATCTTTTAATTGGTTTCATCTCGTGATCATCTCACTTTCTAGATATACTGTACCCATAGCATCTATATACGTACCTGATCTGTGATGACTCGGAGCTCTTTAAGAATTAGGGAGAGCTCGTAGTCTACACCGAAGCAGCTGTGCGCTGCTAGACCTGCGCCATTTTCCTCACCGCCCCTGCAACATGTAAGGCCCTGTAGTGACGAGACTACTTTGCACTCTATCCTACGGGTGGGCCGAGGATCCGGGGGAACTACGGGAGTAATGCCGATAAAATGAGACAGAACTGACCATGACCCATGATATACCTTCTAAAAAGTATAGTGTGATTTGAATCTACAAATAGAAATATGAATACTTGATGAGAAGATGTCGTCGTTTACAAGCTGTTTGGGCCAGGTGTACTGCGGAACGTTTCAGGCGGGGGCTTAATATTTTAACCGTTCTATTTACGGTGAGTAGTGTTCGTGTAGATCGTCGAGGGACCTGTAGTAGCGGCAGCAGGATGGCTGCTGCGCGTGCGCGTGCCGAAAGTCGTCGTCGATATCTAGCACGTTGGCTAGCAACGACTTGGAGGAGCGCTCACGCAGTTCCAGGTCGGGGGGCGGAGGGGCGCGCGCCGGTGGCGGGTTCGTAGCGGAGCCCGGCCGTGACATGCGCAGAATCCACGGCAGCCAGTACAGAAACACGCAGCGGATCTATGCAACATCACACTATGTACCACCTATAGGTATCATAAATACTCAACTTAGCAAGCGATATTTAAGCATAACAAAGACTTCTTGATGAAGTCAGTCGTCATGGATACGTACCCAGTCACTCATTTCGTGCGTGTCCGCGTGTCGATGATGATAGTTTAGAATAAGGATTGTTGACACGACAGAAGAGGCCACCATGAACATGATGCAATTGAAATATGTACCCAGCAGTGGCACTGCATCTGAAGTCGCTGGCATTGTTTCGGCTACCATGTTCAAAAACACTGTCAGCGATAGTAGAATTGTAACCCCTGTGGAAACCATAATTTATTCAATGTTGTACGTGAGTTCATTAAATATTATAATTAAATATTTAACTGAAAGGGGTTATTAAACTACCTAATGATAGTTTTTCACCAGAGTCAGGTGGCAATGTGAACCCTAAAAGAGCCATGGAGGCGATTAGTACGCAGGGTACAATAAGGTTGAAGAAATAATAGAGCGTTTTCCGTCTTATCACAACTGCAAATGTGATATCAATGTATGGTTCCGGGCAGCAGTTATAGTAAATCTCATTTCGCTTGCCTGGAACGCCTGTTAACACAAAAAGTTCAACATTACTCCTTCGAAGTAATTTATATTGGAAATAAATGCTAAATAGTGTATGTAACTGGAACTTCACCTATAAGTTCCCATTCGCCATTTGTCACAAAACTGCTTATGTCTCCGCCTGCTTCATCTTGCAATTGTAAATCAAGCTAAAAAATAAAGTGATATTTAAGTGTAATAGTAATTCAGTTTAAAATGCTAAGATCATTGTACCTATGACGACCCGAATGGCGTTGTGGGTAGTGTATCTGCCTCCTGCGCCAGAGGATGTGGGTTCGATCCCCACTACTGGATAAATATTGTGTGATGAACATAGTATTTTTCTAGTGTTTGGATGTTAATATATGTATAAAATGTATTTATTTACAAAATAAAAAGTATGTTTAAGTATGTTTATCAGTTTTCTAGTACCCATAGTACAAGCTTTGCCTAGTTTGGGACTAGAGAATGTTGTGTAAAAATGTGTCCTAAAATATTTATTTATTTATTTATTTATTAATTATTTATTTATTAAACATTTATATTTATTTATTTAAATATGGCTTACTTGGTATCCATCATAAGTCCAACTGCCGAACTTCATTTCGCAACGTTGATCATCGAATGGGAACCAAGTGATATCAATTTTGCAGGTGCTTTTGAAGATACCAGGGGGCACATAAAGACATGAGCCGTTGTTACGAACCACCACATTGGTCGGATATGTGCTATCAAATCCTTCGTCCGCGCTTCACAAATAAAAAAATCATTTAGAAATCAATTGATCTTTCTTAGACTAAAAGTACCAAAATAAGTTAAGCTATTTTATTACCAGCATTTTATTTGAGTAACATTTTATTAATTAAAATTTATTTCCAGATTTAATATATCTACAATATCTAGATACATTTTTATATTAATATGTTGGTGAACTAGAACCTTGTAGATGTTTATATTAGCAAGTATGGTAAGATGCAACATAGAAAAAGAAGACAGTTACATTTTCTACGGTTTAGAAGCATATTATAAAGATAGACTCAAAGAGTATGAAGTTAGAGAACTATTGAGTAAAAGTAATAAAGTACGAGCTACGATCTCGTAAAAGAGTATAAGTTGGGTTGATATATATAAATCAACTTAAGATGATTGAAATTTAATCATTATTCATAAGAAAAGGCCCATGTTAAGTAAGAAGTATTTTTTTTCTCAAAATCAACCTACCTATTATACATGAGTACGTCAGGTTTCCATAACCTGTGAGGCGGTACTCGCAAATCTTTGACACCACCAAAGTCCGAAGTGTTCCACCTTAAGTTCATATCATTCCATTCCTAAGAAAAATGAGCATAAAAATTCCTTTTACGGTCCAGGATAAGTTTAAATTTATATAAATATTTTGGTTCAATTCTACAGAAATTGTACATAATAAATATTATTTAAAAATACATTTGTGTCTAAAAAAAGTTAAAATAAATAAAATTAAGTTAAAACAAATTAAAATACGTAAAGTCTTGGTTTTATTAACAAAAAAAAATGGTGTTTACTACGTCTTTATATATAGGTGTAAATAATTAGCAATGTTGGGGGTTGGTTTCGTAGCTTATGTTGGTCACCGACGTTAATTGAGTACGGAAGTTCTTTAAGTAATCTAAAATTGTATGTAACTTCTATAATAAAAATATAAAACTTTAACATTAATTCTATTCAATAACCAAACTATATTCTTACAACAATAACAAGTACATGGAATTAGCCTTTAAATTATAATTGGTTAAAATAGTTCCATTATTAAATTAATAGCTTTAAATGGTTTAGTTCAATAGGATCAATATTATACTCACTAGTTTCAGCCAGATGTTCGTTATTAATAGCTGGTTCTTTTCGTCCTGGGAAATAAGTTGCTTGGTATTAAAATTTAGTTTTATATACTTAAAAATTTACATAGCATATAACTTTATGTTCACTGTAAAAACTTCAGATATTTTAAATTTGTTTTCTGCAGACCTGTGTAAATTTTTTTTTTCTATTGCTATTATGAAAATAGCTTAATTTTCATATGGTTATTACAAAAGAAAAACTGTAAAAAATATTCAAGTCAGATGTTAAATTTCAACCTATATGCTTGTTGTAAAGAATTGTATGTCAAAAGTATCTGCGTTTTATATTTTAGACGGACTACGAGGAAGACTCGAAGTCAAGTTTTTTCCGAAAACTAGTTCATAAATTTGAACTTGCGCACAGACGAAGCTGTATAGAATAATACATTACAAAAACTTTTTCATCCTCATTTGATATAGTATAATAGTAAAACTAAGAACGAATAAGCAAACAGGAATGTGTTTTTGTTTTATTATGTTATCGTTGTCAGTCTTAATGGATATGTTAGGTTTCATCGGATATAGTAATATGTAAGTAAAGTAAAATAACAGCCTATATATATTCCACTACTGGGCAGCTGCCCAAATGCCCTGATACTCCCCGTACAGAGGGCATAGTTCAGCACGCGGCCCCACTGCGGATTGGCGGACATATTTTTTGTTATTATTTCGCAAATATTCAGGTTTCCTCACGATGTTTTGCTTCACCACTGAGCACGTGATAAGCTGACATAATAGCACGTGATAATGGACCCTTGATAGCTCATTTATCGGGCTCTCGATTTTAATTCAATATAATCGAGCGACCTGAGCTCGATCCCCGGCGCCGGCACCAATGAAATTGATAATTTTAAGTGCTGACGTACAAGGTGCTCAGCGGTGTTGGGAGTAAACGGGGTGTTTATTGTTTACCACGTCAATGATCTGCATGAGCGTGAGGCCGAAGGAGAGCTGCAAGGGATCGCTTTCGTTGACCACGGGCCGCTCCAGCACGTTGTAATGGTCCAACAGGTGGTGAAGCAGCCGCTTCTCGTGGTAACCGCACCACGCCCCTTAACACGTGGAGAGATTGTTGCTTAAATTTAACATTTAACAATGACTGTATTATGACCTCACAATATCTTTATATCGACTCGGAAACGCCATCGCCGCGATTTTTTAAAATTCATTGCATCACAAATTACGAAACATTTTAAAATGGTCAGTGAAGAAAGAAATAAAAGTGAATCCTGATATCGTCGGTTTTCCACTCATTGATGCTTTGGTAATAATTCAAACTGTAGAGGTCACTTTTAACGTAGGAAAAATATTGCAATACATTGGGATTACGATGCATTAGCACGAATTGATTATAGCAGCTGAATACTAAACAATGTTCCTCTCTCTTTAAAACTAGGTTACAACATACATTAGTCACATTCGCATTCGACTTTGGGACCTCATTTCAATTTGGAAGCATTGGGTACGTAATTCAAAACTAACGTACATCGAGTTATTGTTAATTATATATGTCTATATATGTACATTATATATATAATATCTACAATAGCAATATGTTTTGCTAAATTTTAAAGCAGAGCTTGATGGTCTTCAATTATATATTTGTATATAATTTAAAGAATTCACTTATAATGTTGAGTTAAATCTTCGTCAGTTTTTAAGCACGTTTCTAATTCGCTGCAATACATACACTTAGATGTCCTTAGGACTATTTGGGTTGGATGTAACTTTTAAAATTCAAAAATCTTATGTAATCATATGACGAAATATCTGATTAACCTTTTTCTTTAAAAACTGTTTTACTTTTTAAAACGTGTTGTCTTCTTCATACAATAATATTTATATTGTTTTAGGAACATTGGACCTATAAATAACGATTTTTTTAAATTTAATACTAGATAATCATTTAAAATAGTATTGTTTTGTATGCGATTTGTCTGCTTACAATATATGTACATGAGAGTTATGGTATGCTAATATCTTAAATAAATAAATGGTTAGTATGATTATATATACTATATCATTGAATTTTTGTACATCTTATTTGGAAAGAAAAATCATAACAGCATTTTATGGGAAAAGACTCAATAGAAAAATAGAATATAGTAGCTAATTCTCAGTGATTACTCTGGTGTCGGTCCATTTATTAAGTCTGAATTCTCTGGAATGGTGGTCAGCATTTTTAAATGATAACATTAATCGATACATTACAAAAGAATATCGATGTTCTGTTAAATTATCTTTAAGTATAGGGTAGAGAACAGAAGCAAGGCGGACTGTAAAATGTGGATCGAGGTAGTAAGGAGACGGTAGGAAAGGTCCGAGGTTGAGGTATAGACGCACGGCTCTATGGGTGGACTGTAAAAGTGTGGCTGCATGTGGACAAGGAGACGGAAAGGTTCTTGATTGAACTGGTAAAGACGCATCGTTCTATGGATTGAATGTGAAAACTGTGGAAAAATGTGAAAAAGGAGACGGAAAGGTCGTTGGTTGGGCTTACCCCTCGGCCACAGCAGGCCGAGCAGCAGCAGCAGGCCCGCGGGCGCCGCCAGCGGCGAGCGGCGCGCCCGGCCGGCCATGTCAGCGCCGCGCCGCACCGAGCGCCGCCGCCGCCGCCGCCGCCGCGCCGCCGCGCCGCGCCATCACACGCCCAGCCGCGACCCCCCCGCTACCCTACACCGCACCACCGCCTTTATGCGAGCCCGTTGAACACGACCAGTTTCAGGCGCAACTCTCCTGAGGTTTTCATAAATTACAACTCGCCCGCGACCGTTCGACCGGCGGCCACGCGTGCCGTCCTCTCTACCATCGCCGACTGGGCCGCCGCTGGGTCTGTCGAGTCACGGCGCTTTTTCGGGCATTGTTGTTCAGCGGAGTGCGGCCGACCGTGGGGCAGCGGGGCCGCCGGTGTGCGGACTGGCGGAGGCACCGGGCCGCGCAGCCGCGCCGCCGCCCATTCACGCGCCGCACCGCGCCGCCCGCGCGCGCCGACCTTGCCTCCCTCGCAGCCCTGCCGCCCTAGCTCTTGCCTCCACGCTACCCGCCACCCTTTAATTATGTTAATTTTTTGTCCCTAAACGAATTCGGCTCGTCTGTACGTAACATTATAGGTGAGCGTGATGTACTATGCCGAGTGCAATGCATTTCTCCTGATTGCGAAACTGATTGCGAATGCAATATAAAGTCGCATTGCGTCGAGCGTATGTCAAATTTGTACGGATTAAAATTATCAGTGTTTGTCTAGTTAACAATGTTTTGTGTGCACCTAAATGCAATTATGCGGCAGCACGCTGCCTGCTTCGCCGGTGTCATTGGCATTTTCATTGATCGGAATCGGGTCAAGAATGGAGATGGGGTATCGAAATGTAGCCATTAGGGGCTCGAGTGTTGAATTTTGCGGTTGTGTAGAGCGAAGGCGGCGGGGCTGCGGCGCGACTTAGGCGCAGGTGTGCTGAGCGGAGTGCGATCAATGAGGCGCCACGTCCTCCCCGCAGCTCTGCCACCTCCACCCCCGTACTGCGAGTTGCCCGATAACCGGGAATTTTCAACTCTGCTAACTTCTTGAAATCGGCAGCTAACAAGTCTTTAGACATTAAAAGCGTTTCTTGTGTACTTTGTCTTTTAATTGTCTATGTTGTAATTAAATGACAAGCACGATGTGTTGACGCAATGATAATAGAAAATCAAATTCTTAATTATTTTTAGTTCATTAAACTTTCTTAAAACATAGCATTATGAAATGCTATACATATTTTAATCCATCCTGCACTAATTATTGTGCTTATATAAAAATGTTATTACCATCACAACTTGTCGTTAACGTGATTTATTTTAATGAAAAGCCGCAACTCTATCAATTACTTTGGAGTCTTGATCATGCTCTCCTTTATAAAATAAAGTCCGTAGAGGCGTTGTCGTGCGAAAACTGTACGCGAGCGCAAACGTGCCAGGGCCTGAAAATTAAGGCTATTGGCTCATTACTGCCGCCTCACGCTCGCTACATGCCGCCCGGTCGAGGATAAGTACAATTTGCACATAGCTCGATTATTTTAAACTGAAAATTCCACAAACTTATCGTTTTGGTATTGCCTTATTATCTGTGGCGATAATAACGCTCTAATTAACAATTAACAATTACTTCCACTTGATCCTTATTTTTTAATTTAGGATGAACCAAAGAAAAACTAATAAGCTTCTACAATTGGATAGAAACTACTTGTTTCAATTGGGCTTCATTTTTTCCATGGATGGGTTGGTAGGAAAATCTTCAATTATTTGAATGCCGTAAAAATCATTAAAAAAGGATCTTTAATTATTTTATATTTAGATCTGATGTTACTAATAAGTTTTAAATGATATTACAATTACCAATTAGATGTTATGTAGTACGAAGCACTGTAATAACCGTGGTTCTATGCAACGGATCGTGCCTAATAAAATTAGTTTCCATTATTCAGCGTTTCTCTTAATTTGTAACGCTCGGAGCATTAACTATATGAACATCAGCCGCCGGAATCCATTAGCCAGTTTAAGGCTAGTGATTAATTAATAAAACGGAGAATAATAGCGGTATAGAACAATGGCATTCGGAGCTCACGATCCAATTCCGCTGTATTAGGCATTCTGGATATGTTGGGTAAATGGCAAATGTGTCTTTCAACAGGATATTTGCGAAACTCGGTGAAAGCGCAAAGGAGTATGCGTTGAATGGAGCAGTTAGAACAAAAGCGGTTCGTTTGCTAGAAAACTAAGCGAAATAATTCCCTTCTATTAGTAAAATGTCAGCAGTAAAGGTTAAAACTTAGAGTATAGACATGATAGAGTGGGACTATAGGTATGTGCGTGAGTATGGTGAAACTCTTAACTTTTTTAGGAAAGTGACATGAATTTTTCATATATTATTACAATAAAAGAAGCTTTATTTTATTTTAATGTACAGGGTATATTAATAAAATAAATATATTACATTTTTAAGTACTGCAATTAATTAATTTTTGATAATTTAGTCAAAAAGGCTCTATATTCGAACAGAATACGGATGGCTTTGAGACGGCAACTATTTTGGCTTATTTTCCGCCTCTAGACATATCGACAGAAATGTTTGATTTTTAATGAAATGTTATGAAAAATTTATTAAACTTCTCAAATCTCAATTTTTTACCTATACATAAATAATAACAAAATTTTGTAAACCGTATATTGATTAAATATGACTGAAACTAGTAAACCAAATAATACAAAAGGAGTAGGGACGATATATTGTCAAGGCATGCAATATGATAATATTGAAAGTAACTTATTTAATAATTTTAATATGTTAGAAACACGAAATAGCTATTAATTCTAATAATGCTATTAAATAGGCGTTGCAAATGTAATATTTATCACAACGATCGTACAAAAAACTCATAAAACTGGTACATTTTACGGACTTAAACCAAGTAAACGCTAATGAATATCAAAAAGTATTTCATTTAGCGCATATATGGAACGCGGGTGGCTGTTTTTTCAAAAGAAAATCCGTGACTAAATGAGCAAAATGGCCGTGCTCACACAAAGAAGGCGAAGTGAAAAAACTGATTTTTTTTTTAAAAACGTCTCTAAGAAATCTTTCTTGTTTCCTACTCCGACTCTCTTAATGTTATTCAAGGTGCCTCAGCAAACTCAAATAAAAATATAGTTTTAATGAAATATTTGTGTGGAAAAAAAATATTGGTATCGAACTTTTTTTCTTACAACTTTTTTTAAATGTGTAATAAATAGAAAGAAATAAATAGAAAGGTGAAGTGTAAGTTTTTAGTCACCCAAGTGAATTATATACTTAAACATTTTATAGATAAATCAATATTTAGTATAGAAATTACTGGAAAATGTAAATTATTCTACAATACCACTTTATAATAATTTATATTATTAGGCCGTTAGTTTGATTAATTATGAATTGAGCTCGCTTCACGACATAGTGATTTTGAGTTGATTGTTAACCTTATGTAATAATCTCTAGGACCACATAAAACTATTTTCAATATAATGGAAAACCTTTTATATATTACATGTCTATATAATAAGGCTATTGCACGAAATTCGGTCAACTTAAACAATGATTATACGCCCTGAACAGCGGGTGGGTTGGTGTTTGCTCGTCGCGTGACCGCCCGATGCCTGCTTGCGAATTGCATATTACACACTGTGCCAGGCTGCAAGCGATTATTAGTGCATTCTCATAATATGTCACAACGAAGTCGACAATTGAAATTGTTACACTTTTTCACACTTCGTTGAAATTGAGTATTTTAAATTTAAACAATTTATCGACTACAACCTGTACACAAATGCTGCTTTATTTATAAGCTGAATGGTATTGTATGTCTTGTATGTTTAGATCATAGGTTTATTATTTTTTTTTTATAACAACTCTGGTACTTCGCTAATCTTTGGTTATGTGATGATCAGCCTGATCATAACTTATAATGCTCTAAAATTAGTTATTCAGAATAAAAACATCACAAGAGTAGCATATTCATATAAGCATGTAAATTCTCAAGTATTCATAGGATTTTATAAATAACGCTATGTGCTTGCTAAATGTTTATCGAAGAGAAATAATGGCTTGGCCGCCAATTACCAATGGTTAGAGTTGTTTACAACGCTTCCTGCTACGGAATGTGGAACGAATACCATTTTACGATGCTTCGATAAGGATGAATGGAAACGAGTAAAACAAAACAGTGGTGATTTTCTGAAAACGTTAGGTCGAGTCGTGCATATTGGTCCCCTTGGCAAAAAGAATTAAGTTTCGATGTCTTAATTTTGGTCTAAGGATTCATCACGGTATGACTTAAATTTTATTTATTTGAATATTAGCGATGTTACTAATGTTCATTACGCAATAAAAATGTAATAGTTTTTTTTTTAAATTAACAGGGTAGACAAAGATTGGAATTGCTGTTTAGTTATCGCCGACTATACAGCGTGTCGTTACCATCGCGACAATAAATGAACACACATATAGGGCATAACTTTTTAAAGTTGTATTAAACATTTAAATTCTTTAAACATCAATATTTACAGAGTTATTAAATTTTCCAAAACAAAGAATTTTAGAACACCCTTACCTATAAAACTGTAATGTAAAGTTCATTTGTAAAGGTCACAAAGCATATGAATGGGTTGAATGAATTTAAAAGAGACAAAACATACTGTTAGTAGGAGAGGCATGTAATGCGACGCTGTGGCGCGAGTTGTATAGGATGTTACAAATTTTGTTTCTTTTTTACTTAATTAGTTTGTTTGAAAAATATTTTTTTTAAATTATGGATTTTGTTTAACGTTAATATTTTTTTATGATTATTGACAAGTAGCGTTAGACTTGTGTTCATTTATTGTCGCGATGTTAACGACACGCTGTATAAATTACTAGCGGTCCTGTAAACATGACTGAAATCTGAAAACAACTTATAAATAAAAAAAAATGTGGACCGTATTGTGAATCTAAACCATTCTCGAATCGACTTGAAGAAACACACAAAATTTCATTAAAATCGGGCCAGCCGTTTAGGAGCAGTGCAGTGACACACACGTACAGAAGAATTATATATATAAAGATTAGTCTTCAACCTCCTGAGCTCTCGAACGTTCGAAACAAATGCGAGAAAGTATTATATTATAATTGTAGGTATAAAATCCAACGAAGGGAAAACTTATATATGGTTGATAACTGAAAATAGGAGAGAAACGAATCCAATCTCAAATCGCAAGTAGGCGTACAACTATTATAAAGGGCGATAGACCACACTGATTGCATATTGATGACCCTATGCTGGCCAATGATAAATTTGGCCTCAATTGTCGCGCTGATTAAAGTAACAAGATGTCTTATAAAATATATTACCATCGTTTGCATAGATACAAATACGACGGTTAAAATTAATTGGATTTTTTTTAATAAATATGCAATGGAAGAACGACAACAGTCCTCGTTAGTTTGTGATTCTCGATTATCATAATATTTGAATACGAACAAAAGATTATGTAAGCGAAAGAAAGTATAAGAAAAAGAAATTACGAATTTTTAAGATTTTATTATATTTTTAAATAAAGAATTAAGCTTTTTTTTTTCTAAATGTACCTATATAGGTATTTTAATAATATATGACTCAAACAATTACTCTTGAGGTCACAAGTGACATGTGTCGATTGATCGATTAATTATACCTAAAAACCGGAAAAACAACTATACGAATGAATGATCGATAATGGTCACAACAATTCAGAAACTGGCTATGACAAAACTTAAACCTGAGTAAATATTTTCTTGAGTGTTAATTTTACACGCTCTCCGTTCACCTTTTTCGTATCTCTGAGATACAAACATGTATTTTCACTACTTTCATAATGTACGGCAAATGTGATGAGTAAAAAGAAAAATATCTTCAATCTAATGGCATATGCATGAATCTTAAACTTCGGATTATTTCTGTGAATACAGCTTAGATTAATTGTGCAATGAGTACTCAGTGACACTCAATGTGAATTCTAGTTTTAAGTATAATGTGTTCTCAGATATCGAATGAATTCAATGTTTTTTTAATTCAAGCATTAACATTGCAATGTAAATCTACGCACATGTAAAAAGTTATTGAAAACTCCGAAAATGTACGAATACGAATAATGATAGTGCTTCAACAAATCTTATAAAATTTTCATATTTCCTCTTTCTCGAATGGTATTGCTGTAGTTCAATAAACAAATTATTTTTTATTTCTCTTTATAACACGCTCTGTGAGAATTTCTTCAGGCGGGAATTCAATTCGTGACTAACTAATCGATGTCTGTACACCATTAAATTTATCGGATTAATGGACCATCGTTTTTAACGCGGGAACTTTCCAATATAAAAAAATATGATTATTCAGTTTGTGTAAGTATATACTTGTACAACTGTGCATTTCCAAAATAACACAAAGGTGGTGTTTGCGAATTATTGAGCTCACGAAACATGACAAACTTGGTTTGTAAACCTCAACCTTCTTCCATAAAAGTAGTTTTCGACGTGATAAGGCTAACAAGTATGAGATTCTTTGCCGTTGACCTCGCCGGCCATTGGACGCACGACATTACCGCATTTAAATGACAAAAACAAAAGGTAGGGAGCAGAAAAGAGAATGTATATACTCGCTATATCAATTCGCCAATGCAATTATTTAATTTTGATAGTAAGACAATACATACTATAATACATCGATACTTAATAAAAGGTGCTACAAACATTGAAAAAAGACCATTTTATATCAGACACAATTGTTTGAGAGATGTAATATTGAAAGCATTTGCTTGGATTTGACCCCTCTTTACATTCATCATCATCATCATCATTTCAGCCTGTTTGAGTCCACTGCTGAACATAGGCCTCCCCCATAGACTGCCACGAAGTACGATCCTGAGCCACCTGCATCCATCGACTTCCCGCACATTTGCACAGGTCGTCACTCCATCAGTGGGGGGTCGTCCCACACTGCGATGGCCAGTACGAGGCTGCCACTCGAGAACCTTTCTTCCCCAACGGTTATCGGTTCTACGAGCTATATGGCCGGCCCATCACCACTTCAGCTTGCTAATCCTCTGAGCTATGTCGGTTACCTTGGTTCTACTGCGGATGTCTTCGTTACGAACTCTATCACGCAGAGAAATACCGAGCATAGCCCGCTCCTCTTTACATTATTATTGTTTAAATTTTCAAATACGAAATGAAGAGTTCTGCTTATTACTTTATGTCAATTTGTCATTTGCTATACGAATAATCCAAATCCAAATACTTCTCAGTTAATGTTGATATTTTTTATTTCCTTAAGAGAATATACCTAAACGATAAACATACATATGGTAATACTAGTTTTATGTATATGGTAATATAAGAGATCGAGAAATCCAACCGATATTATATTTAAAGTGCTTCTCCATTGTTGAAGTATGGCAGTTAGTGCTGCTTATCCGGCTAAGTTGAGTCACAGTATACAACAGTTGAGTTATTTTAGTCTATTCTTTAATGTTCTAACCAGACATTTGACCGTGGGTCAGGGCGTCTTATGTCATTTACGAGTCGTACTGCTAGTACGAAATATTCTTGCTGTAGGCGTTATATCCATGTGGACCCATTTTTGACGGCTTTTTAATGGAAAACGGAGGAAAACGGTCACCTGGTATGGTAAGCGATCACAGCCTATCTCTTCACGTAATCGTCTTCACATAAATGAAAAAATTCACGAAGAACGTGACTGATGTTTACATAGATCAGAGATTTCATGATGAAAGTCGTCTAGAGGTTGGTCACACTACCTCGATGACTAGTCGATGCTACTACCTTGTGGAATGACGAAGCCCATTAACTTCTAATCCAATAAATTAATTTTTCCCATTCTGTACGGCACGTGGCAGCAGGCTGGTTGCACGTTTGTGAGATATATACCATCTATCCAAGGCATAACTTGTGCATCTTATAAATATATTACACATGTAAACAATTGCGTTGATACAATCGATACACAATCCACACCAAAAACTGCCTTTATCGGAAAGAAGAGGCCCCTGATGAATCACTTCTGAATTCCAAATCCAGCTTTTCCAATCCAACTTTTGTCGTTCTAAATCCGGCAACCCGACCGTTTGTAGGTTTGTGAAACAACTGAAGCCGATAGGAACCTCATCACTGAAGATGGTTTTCCAGAAGCGGGGCTAACTGCCAAAAGCTGTAAAGCTCAATCGGAATACAACGTGCTGTCTGTGGTCGTTGAGCTTCTGTGTTTGACTCGATTGACCTTTGCAAGGATGAATAAATTTACTAAAATTAAAATTTTTCAATAAATTTTAACAATTTCATTATTATCATCATCATCAGGCAGCTGCAGCCCTTACCCACGCTGCAGGCCTTACCCACAGCCATGAAGCATGATTCCAACCTACCTGCATCCACCGACTTCCGGTACACTTGAACAGGTAATAATTTCAAGATTTTTTAATTTTTGGATCGAACTCGATTGCTCAGTTAAAAGGCGAGCGCCCGGACACTGGGCTATCTGTGAGCTATATATATATTTTAAGTGCTGTCTTATCACGTGCTCAGCGGTGAAGGAAAGCATCGTGAGGAAACTTGCATATTTTCGAAATAATAATTTAAAATAATATTTCGAAGATATTTGAAGTCCACCAATCTGCAGTGGGGCCGCATGGTGGACTATGCTCCAATACCCTTTGTACGAAGGTGGCCTTTGCCCAGCAGTGGAATATTTTTTTTAAATAAAAAATAATGAAAATATATGTATAGGCCTTTCTTTACTTTTTTATTATAATTAAAAAAGTATTCTTATAAATGCAATAAAAACGAAGTAAATAAGATGTCGAGATTTTGGCGCAGTGAAAATATTGACCGCTTACTCGTAAATTAGTCGCTAAAGCGTCCGAATGCGTGGTCCGGAAGGCGCAGGTTCGAATCTTGGTCGTATCGAAAAAAAAATCGACAATTTTATCTACACATTTTAAACTTCATGGATTGTACAAGTAGCCAGTAGCATTCAAAGGTCATTTAAATTTCACACGGTAACTAAATAAGTACTCTTATTAAATTTGACAGTTTTCCCTTTACAACGAAAGCGGCTGTACACAGGCAAAGTTTTAGTGTCCCTATTGCCAAACTATATTTAAGTTTTGTAACTTTGACTACGACTTCGCAGACACGATTCAACTTTGTCGTCAACAGCAAGATTTCAGAACTCGTGTATGATTTTAGCTATCAACTTGGAAGCTAAAGTTAAAAGTGCTTAATTAGCGTTGCTAATTTTATATTGTGTATGTGTGTTGCTATTCCTATATTCAAACTATTAATTAATATACATACATAATTATGTACTCCATAAAACCTAAGAAATAAATTATAGGCAAACTGCACATTGAGTAAGATTTAGATTTTAAGTAATTCAGAAAACCATTCGATTTCTTATCTTCACATTTAGTGCCGTATCTAATCATAATCTCTTTACTCTTAACGTATTAAAAATTATTGAATATATACCTCTTCTGAATTATATTTTTTGTATAACAATGTAAGCTTACCTACATCAAAATACGACTATCAATTATAAAGTGCCTTAATCATATTTCGAGGATTGGGATTTTACAGAATTTTTGTTTTATTTGACAAGCTATGTTCAAACCTGTTCTAATATTTTTCTTACATTAGTTATACTAACCACTTTTATTACCTGAGTCAATAAATGTTTATTAGAATTAATTTACATATGTGTTTACTTCTCAATTTGTACATTTCTATTACAAGTACCACTTCACTAATATACAAATACACACGAACACCATAAAGTGAAGCTATAAGAACACAAACATATCTGTAGATATGAGCAAAGGTTGTCTTACTTTGACGGGCTTAATTAGGTGAACTTCTTACTGACACGGCATAGAGAAGGCGGTGATTTTCATTAACCTGAAATGAGAAAAATGCAGCTGCCCACTTGTTTATGCCTTTCGATAACTACGCTTTTTACTCGTAATATTTAAACGGGCAAGTTGATCTTAATTCTAATGTTCTTAATTAGGCAAAATAGAATTTAATATCAAGTTAACGTAATTTTCATAAATCATCCTGTATTCGTCTCCGACTTTATTAAGAATAATTAATTTACATACATACAATCAATATACCTTTGTTTTAATGTTGCGTAGTTCTATAAATTGATGTAGTTCGACCTTAAAGTTTGAAATATAGTTCTGAGTGACTTGATATATCACCTTCAACATTGGTTTTGGTTTACACAGTACCTATATTGTTCAACATTGATATTATGCATACAGGTAAGTAATAAGTGACTGTCTGTTATTTTTAAAAAGGCTATTTCCATTTGTATGTTTTTTTTATAAACGCTATGTATGAAACGGGTGTACTGATTTTGATCTGCCTCGCAGATAGAGAATTTCTCAGAGAATTATTTAGGCTATTTCCATAAAAGCGAGAAAATCTAGGAGAATCCATTCGTATACCTTGTTTGTCCTGGTATTACAGGATATAACGACAAACTGAGTCACTGGCTTCTGTTATAGCTCGATTTACTGAAGTATGGTTATTTATTAGGAAATTTTATTTTTAGCAGTATATGCCATGGCATGTATGACAATACAAACCGGAGCCAAAATTAATTTCTGGGCTTAGAAAATAGATCTGTCCGGAAGTTCTTTTAATAACGAAGGTTTTAGGTTATAGGTTATAATTGAAAATAAACTTCCAAAATATTGTATATTTAAAAATTTACATAGATAGAGAAATTTTCGTATAAAATAAAAGTTCTGTAAAAGTTCTGCCGTTTAAGAGGTAAGATGGGAGACACAATCTGTCATGTAAAATATTTAAGGATGGACGAAGTCGCGGGTACGCGCTAGTTTTAAAGTTCCAAAGATTTATTCTATTTTTTTAAACCACAGGAATTGCTAAATCCGACTTGATAACCAATTAATAGTTTGTTTGCTTAAGATAATAAAACAAGAACAAGGTGATCATTTAGATTTTGGGACCTAGAATGTTATGAGCTTCTTACAAGGTAAAGTACTTTGTATTATTAAGTCTTTATGCAATAGAGTGTACATATACAAGTTTTTTCAGGACTTGACTACTTTGAATATAATTATTAAACATTGTCCATTTATGGGTAGAAATCGTTTAAGATGTTGATAAAAGTTAAACAATGTCCAGGTGTGTATATTTCAGTGGATGATTCTTTTGTAGTTTTTTGACTGAGTAGCATAATAAGATTAGACCTGGTCATCTCCTCTTGTAAAACTATAATGGTGGAAAACGTATAAAACGTTTGCGTCTTTATCTGAAAAATGTTCTTTAAACACTTTCTCTAGCTTTGGTCGAGTCGAACCGATCTGAAATACCTTTAAAGCGACAGAAGCCAGTGCAATTGGAAAGTTGAAGGCAGCCGCATAACTCCACAACGCCGGTTCAGACCTGTACCGAGAATAGCGAAGCCAACAATGATGGCGTCGGGGCGATCTAATTGAATTAGAACCGTTCGCCGGCTTCAGGCCTTCAGTCGGTGGCCGGCGGGCGTCGGGTGGCGATTTTGGGCCGTCGCGGTTTTCGGAATGCGCGACTTTCTTCGGCCGACCGCGCGGCGCCAAGCGCGATCGCAGCGAGCGCCGGCCGCGGTGAGAGCGCGGCCCCGTTGCGACCGGTCGGCCCCACCGCTGCGCGAGCGCACACAACGCTCCGCGCCGCCGACGTCGCGACGCCCGCTCGTTTTACGCGCGCCGCCACACCGTCGCAACCGCACGGCGTGCACAACGCACGCAACGCCCCGCCACGCCGGCCCCGGTGACATGTTCTGACCGCCAGTGCTACGGGACTAGTGATCGTGCCCGACAGTTTTTCCCGCCCGACACCGGAGCGATCGACTGCGTGTTTCGGTGAGTGTTGGATATATTGTAGATATGCAAGTACGCAGTGTTGTGCGGGTTTCGTCGGGAAGCCTAAGATCTGACGCGCCGCGCCGTGCGTGAAACGCGAATAAGGGCGCGTCCGGCTGCATTCCCAGAGATCCCAGCCGCCCCCCGCGCCGCTGTCCCGGCCCGCGCCTCACGTCCTGCTGTGTTTTCCTTTTCCCGCCCGCCTTTTCGCTTTAACGTTTCACATTTTGCTACATTTCTTATGATGAATTCGTTCTTTTGATTTTAAATAATTTTAGCTGCATATTACCCCAAGTATTTATCTTATTTCTGTTTAAAGCAGAACTAGTAAGCTTAATTCAATTAATATTTGTTATTGAACGTAAGCAGTCAATATGAATAGCCAATAAGAGCGTCCAATACACTTATTGTTGAAGACTATTGATAAATAATGAGTTATCATAAGTTTTACGAGTGCTTCTCTTCAGAATGTCCTTCAGGCTGAGTAATAATGGTAATAACCGTAATCTAGTTGGTGGCTTGCACTTCATTATATTCGATCATAATCGAGATTGTTCAAGAATTATGCTATATGGTATTATATAAGTGGCTTTCAAGCAATTGAATCAATATATATTTACTCACTACTTTTGCCTTATTTCTGCACTGCGGTAATTTCTATTCCTTTCACTCGATAAATAGTTTGTGCAAAATAATAACAATCGTAAGTACCTAAAGAAGACTATTTAAACTTAAGCGAGAAAGAAGACGTTGTTAAATTTGTATTATTATCTAAACTTTTGTGGGGTAATTGTTATGTCAAAAGTAATTGTAAACAGTTATGAAGACTAACAGAGCGTAAGAGGAGAATTTTTTTTGGTTGATTTCATTTATTGTGTAACGACTACATTACTTTTGTCATTGACAATTAATAAATTTAAAAGTATAAAAATATGCATAAATTATTGAAAGCTAAATGATGTTGATAGATGTTTTGATGTGATGATAAAACAAATCATTTGGCACAGTTATTAAAAAAAGGTATTATTAACAAAATTGTAATTCAGTGACCGATCTCGTTCACTTATGTGAGCCCAGAGAAAGTAATAGTCTCACAGTTGTTGATGACGGTTAGAGATTGATCCAGTCTATTTATATACAAATCAGAAAAAAACGTTCGGTCGATAGAATTTGATTTTAAATTTGACAGAAATCATTATCAATTGATTCCACGTAACCAAATGTTACTTTGCCTCATGGATCATATTAATTCACATAGAGTTTTTTTTTTATTTATAATTTACCACCCAGTATACCCAGTACACTCATCCTAGTTAAACACCATTGAAAGCTAGACTGCAAATGGAATGGTGTTATTTCTTATGTCAGAAATGAGGGCTCGAAGCACTTTGAGTGTAGCTAAATGGGTCAACAGCCCATTCCTCTAAATTGATTCGTTTGCTACAGCACAAATTTAAATAGACGGCGCGATATCCTGTTCCAAAGTTATCGTCTGTGGTCATCGAATAATAATAGCGGTATCTGTTTTTAACGTAAGCTGATAGAAATGATTGGATTCATTGAGCGCGGCAAACTGGCTTTTTAGCGTTATTTGGTTTTGGAGTCGAGCTGATTGGCTCATTGGCCAGACGTTGCAGGATATTAACCTCTCAGTTTATATGAGGCCCGTGACTATGTTTTAGTGGTGGGAAAATATTTAATTGACTGTAAAATGGTCTACAACAGGTACATTTTTACCAATAAAAAGCAAGACCGATTGCGAATATCTCACTCTCCGTACATTTTCTATTAGTGAATCTCTAAATAATCTCTATGGAGTCCAATTAATTAAATAAAGGGCCATTAATTTATTCCCATTTTCACACGGTAGAACCCAATGCAAAAATAATTTTCAAAAGCGGTTGATAAATGATGGAGTTCTAGGGTAAAAAAATCCTTCTTTTTGAAAATGTAATAAATTCTAATATTAATTAAAAAATAGAAAAATAGTTGACCGCCGAATGTTATCAAACTATAGGTACTTGTGATAACAACATGATAATAATTAATAAATATTAAATTAAAAGAGAACTGAATACTTTAATACAGAAATTATGAATAGTATAATATGTACTTTATTAAAATATGTAATATTAGTAATCTTTCATCTTGTTTTAGATGTTGATTCAGTTTTGTGTTCTCTGCGTATTGGGGATGCATTCATAAAAACTAAACATCGTTCGTGTATTTTGAAATTAATGCAATGATTTAGTGGACGTGGCGGTCAATATCTGATGTCATACTGCCGACGCCCACCTCGATCTCGCTTACCCTGCTTCGCATTCTTGAGCATTTGTTCTTAATTTACATTGAATAACTCCACACCTATCGGTTTAGATCTAGCTACCATAATATGTTAAATGCCAGATTAGTAAAAATAGACCCTTTTATATTTCTGTACTGTAGCTATCCTCATTAAAAAAATCACCGATATTTAAGCAAACCTTTTGTATGTATGTTATTCTGTGTATTTGTATACTTTAAAAAGACGCCTCGACTGCAACATTGGATGGGGGTCACTGCTGTCATTAATGTTGTGTAGAAAAGTTCAAAGGAATACTTATTTAAATGCAAATTAACACGAGTAGAATTCCCGTTACCCATACGCAAGATTCGTTGTTGTTGTACTTGTTAATGTCAAAGCCGCACCTAAAACTAAAGGCTCTCTGGATATTTTAGTTATTTTTATTAAAAAGAGAAACATTATACAAATCTATACGTATAATAAAAATGTAACTGATCGTTGTCTGTACAAAGAAAGATATTTGAGAAAAACTATTATTGGGGGTCTTTATCAACGTAGTAGAACCAAAAAAAATGATTGTCAAAGTTATTGTTTGTTTGTCTGTGCGTTTGTGCGCGCTAATCTCAGAAACGGCTTAATCGATTTGAGTACAACTTTCACTAATGCATTGTAATAAGCCTCACTTAACATTTAGTGTTAGATTTATTTAAAACGGTTCATAAATAAAAAAAGTCATATCAACTTAAAGAATCACATTGGAGATTTGTGCGATAAAATACTATATAATAGCTATAGTTGAATTAGGTATAACTATAGTCAACTATATATTATGGTCTAAAGTTCATTTTTTGTTGTGTTAATTTATTTTTACGTTTTACTAACTTTAATTATAACAATATAAATATGACATTATTAAAATATGGTATCTAAAAATGTAATCATCTTATTAGAATTTTCTTTGATAATTAAAAATTTTAAAAATAATTGTTTATTACAAATTAAACCAAAAAGGTAAAAATTAATGCGAGAAAAGAAAGGATCATGAAAAATCATTCTACTCAATCTAATGTAATTCCTTCATCAAATGATAATTTAACGACGGGGCGCCGAATTAAAGTCTTTATAATATGGCGAAATTAAAAACGCCCTGCTTTTCGGAATTCATTAATTTCCTTTTTCTTTTGTCGCATTTATTTTCACAAGAAAAAACTTAATTAAAGTGTCCTTAATCTACATCGCAGTTAAAGGGTATTTTATAGTTATTAATGGAGTCTAAAGATTTGTATTATCTTATATTATAGCTGTGCTTTATTTTAATCGAAGCAATGACATGTTAATCAGTTTTACTTAGTACATGCATAATCCTTAAGGTAATTTCAATAAAGAGTAAATAAATAATGAAATAAATTATTAAGAGTCGCTCTTAAAATCTTATAGGTGTGTCATTTGTAAATTATGGAAAATAGTGGAGTAAATTAATTTACCGCCTCACCGTTTTATAATTCGAGTAAATCTCTTAAAGGTGCGATATTCGTTTCATTATTCTAGGACTCAGTTATCACGTTTCGTGCATATTTCGCTGACACATTATCTTGATAGTGTCGCACCAGACGTAATTTCGAGACTGTGCGCCAACAAACAGCCTCTCTGTCATCTGATAAAGACGTCATAGCGATCTTATAGCAAAATAATTTCTTTTTAATGCTATCAACATTTAAAATCGTAAAAGTGTTCCAATTGAACCGAAAAGCGCCTAGAATTATTTTCACAGTGAAAATAATGTTTTTTAAAAGATGTATGCTTTGCTAGTGAATATAACTTCCCGTGGAAAGTTGCACCTGAAACCTTATGTAAAAATTAGTTCCTTTGTTATATTTGGTTAGTTTATTTACAACTTGAATACCGGCATTGCAACGAAGAATACAACACTTTTTGCATCTAAGTATTACCAAACCAAGAACATATTAATGTAAGCCATTACGACTAATCCCTGACCTCAACCTGACAATTTTTTCTTTGATTTGCTTTGTATTAATTGTGAATTTGCGGTATTATTAATGCGCAAGCAAAGGCAGCAATTTTGTCCCAGCGTTTTGTGAATGTCCGTGACGTGTGAGTCGCCTAGGCAGCCTCGTAAATGTCGCGTGCCGATGGAGTCATGGGTTCGAAAGTCAGGTACTAATAAATTGCGAAATGCCCAGAAAACATTATATATTTTACATAACAACAGCTATGATAGAGATTTTGCAATATTTTCACCCATAATTTCTAAAACTAATCTGTTAAAATTATGCGCGGGCACGTCAAGCGAACGAAAGGATGTATTTATGAATATTGACCTTGTTTTTATGAATACGTTACTGGTTTCTCACCGATCCGGTCTCTTCAAAGCTTTAACGGGTATAAGAACGAAACTTGGTTTTGTTGAAAAATTTTAAATCTTTTATTAGATGCTGACGAGATGACACCACGGTGCACACTTTCAGAAATAAGGGATAGATTATAAGAAACATTGGCTTGTGTTATAGCACTGTAGATAACTTGTTAGTTAAAGTACGGATTATTAGCCATTGCGAGGAAATGGCCGATTACACATCACGTATACAGAGCTAGGAACCTTTCGAAAACATGCATGAAGTCCTCGATTGTTCCTCAGCCATACTTTTAGATGTCAGATAAGTTTACAAACAATACGCATTCGTTTGGAGTGAAACAAACGGCTCGCAATTGCAGCTAGCAGTGTTAGCACGGACTGGAGCAATAAATATGGCGGGCAATCAGTTGGCGGGCATGCTGAACGTCTATTGCCTTACCATTGCACAATCAACGAGGATGCTCTAATTAGGAGCGTTGGCCACTGGCTACTGGCTTCGTTAAATACTCGTTAGTAAATTTATAGGCGCCTGTACACAACCAAATGCGTTTAAGGTTTCAAATCATCAAATTATTAGTCTTAAATATGTTTTTTCATTGTCAAAATATACTACTACTTAGATAATATTATATAGTAACATTCATGTCGGATTGCACTTATTGGGGGAGGCCTATGTTGAATGTTCAGCAGTGGACTCAAATAGGCTGAAGAGATGACGAGGATAATGATTGAAATTAAATCACGTCAGTACTGATTAGTCTATATTGCTGAGAATAGTGAGATAGGCCATTGATAAATTGCTTACTCCAACATTATATGGTTAAATGAATCTATTTTACGGAATTTTTCACATTTTAATTTGATCATAGGACAGACAGGCAATGAACGCTATAACATTTCGAAACGGCAGAAATTTAATATCAAAATAAAACGATTAAAATAAAAATAAAGTTCCTATAAAATAGTTTTATTTAAATGTGTGAAAATACAAGAAACCACTCCTCTCTTTCAAATTTTTCATGTATGTATATACAGTTACTTAAGTGACACTAAACTCGAGTTCAGTCACCTGGGTCCCATTTAGATTTTTCTATTTGCATGTGTATTGTCTTTGAGGATATATGCAACAAGATAGCGTTGATAGCGCGTTTTGCTTGTTTGAAATGTGATAAGCCGCTTTGTGCAGAATTAGCTTGAGCATTGTTTCACTTTCCGCGTTACGAGAATTTTGTATCGGCAGTAACCCCTTTCTTCACTCAAGTAATCCGAGATATTCATTCGCCAAGCAGTAAAAAACATTTTTGTGTGTGCCGTGTGTACGCACTGTGTTATTACTAATATCGTGAAGATAAAGAGACAAGACATAGGTATAAAAGTAACAGCCTATACATGTCCCACTGCTGGGCAAAGGCCTCCTCTATACATTGGGTATCAGGGCATAGTCCACCACGCGGCCCCACTGCGGATTGGCGGACTTCACATATTTTCGAAATACATTTTTTTTTGTTATTATTCCGAAAATGTACAGGTTTCCTCACGATGTTTTCCTTCACCGCGGAGCACGTGATAATTCAGCACTTAAAGTTAAAAACTTCATTGGTGCCGGCACCGGGGATCGAACTCAGGTTGCTCGAGTATTCATTGAATTAAGGCGAGCGCCCGGACACTGAGCTATCACGGCTATATATATATATATATATATATATATATATATATATTATACGCCTTTATTTTGATTTAAATCTAGTTTATAAATGTGTATAACACGCATATTGCTTCGTTTCTTCATTTATATTTTCATGTAACCTAACCCATGTTAATGTATAAGTAAAAGTAGATTAACTTACATTTAGCACTGTTAATTTTTGTGGCAATTTATAATTTGGTACGATATTGAATATATGTAGAAAACAATGACAAATGATTGATAGTTCTTTTGATAGCGAAATTCGATAAAATACGTGCTTAACTATTAGAAAACAGAATAAAATTTCTACTGTCACTTACAATTTGGCAACAATGTTTTGAATCGGGGACGTTTACCTCATGTGCCTTAGTTCCGTGTTCCTTATCGTATGTAGGCTACAACTTTGATTGTATCTGCGAAATTGCACGTTGAACTGTTCATATAAGAAATAAACGATAATAGTACTGAGTATGTGTCGTAATAGTCTTTTGATTATTTAAGAGCAAATACGACAAGTTAAGTAATTACTTTCAAATTTACCTTCTCGAAAATATGAAGTTACTATTTACATAGTGAGATTATTTGATTTTTGACTAATTTTAATCCATCAATGCGACATTTTACTATTTTAAATTGTTGTTACAGAATAAAATTATTATGGGTTACCGGAGGTAACATAATTCATAAAATTTCAATTTATCTATATATATATATATATATATATATATATATATATATATATATATAATTCTTCTGTACGTGTGTGTGTCACTGAACTCCTCCTAAACGGCTGGACCGATTTTAATGAATTTTTTTGTGTGTCTTCAGGACGATCCGAGAACGGTTTAGATTCACAATTCGTTCCACTACTTTTTTTATTTATAAGTTGTCGGATTAAAGCCGCGTGTACAGGACAACGTCTGTCAGGTCCGCTAGTACTAATATATATTTTTCATGTGTCTTAAGTTCTATTTAACTAATATTTTTTTGTTTTTTTATGGTACAGCTATATTTGTACGCCACGGTTTCACTAGTGTTAAATTTGTATTACAAAGAAACATCGCGGTGTTAAATAATGATTTACAATGTATCGGGTTATAATTATTTGCTATTACTATTTAAATAACAAAATAATGCATAAGTTTCGGCCGCAGCGCTGCAAATAACGTAATGTTGCAGCTCGCCCAGTTGTTCATGAACTGTGTAATTGCCGTGTTTCTTTGCTATAATAAAGCATCTACATTATATTACGCTCATGACTACGTGATGTATGTTGTTTTAAATGATATAATAAGAAAATAACACGCAATTTCGACTTTTCCATATTCTGAGAAACAGAAAAGGATAAATTGATTATTTCAAAGAAACCACAGTTTCATTATTTTAACTTAAATTTGGAATTCTAAATAGAATGAAAGATATTTGCTCCAAACTTGCTAGCATTAAAAATCCTCAGTTAAAGTAGGGACTTAAGTAAGACTTCATTATATATGGTGAAAACTCCCCAAAGTATTTAGCTTTGAACTTATGTTGCAAGTTTAAATTTTTAAGCAATTTTTTGCATATATGTGTATTCTAACTTCCGGTTTGCGTTCTACTTCAAAACCGGAACATAGCATTTAAAACATGATTCTTATTAAAAGAGATTCATTATTGTCGTCCGTCAACGGATGGAAGGTTACGAGGTACAGATTTAATTTTATGATACAGGTTACAATGCCATACGATGCCCCGCTACTTCGTTTATTCGGTAACAGCGTACAAGTGAGATACCGATTTTCCATTCGCTCTCATTTCGGGCAGACTTGCACTCACACGACGAGGTCACTCACGAACCTCGATGCTCTCTCGGTTGGCGATTTCTTTTCGCATTATCCAAATGTTGTATCGTCATCTCAATAATAACTGAGATCTACGAAGTCGTTGCGGTATTTGTGTACATTATATTTATATTAATTCAGTATGTTGAAAGTTTAGTACAATTAGAAATATAGAACAACTATATATCATAAACTTGATGTTTCTTCTTTGTTATTATTGAACGTTTTATGATAATAATTTATTAATATAAAGACATTTTAACACTTATAAATTACTGACATTTTATTATAATTCATAAAGGGAAAACATTCTGAGAAAACTTTGTTTCTTTTTTCCGAGTGTTAATCTAAGTACTACATAATATTTAGACCTCTTCAGAGAATGGCCAGTCGAAATTTGTGGGATTATCACATAAACTATTTTGTTTTATTTTAAAAGAAAAATAATACAATAATATAGATATATAATTAGCCCGAGCCCAGGGTCTTGTAAATGCAGAGGAAATACCATTTCCCCACAGTACATTGCGGATCAACTGCAATGTATTAAACAGCGTGGTATACCATGCTATATTTAGTGAGTTATCGTCTATGGTATTAAAGTGTAAATTGTGATGAGCCGTAAGAATGGAGGGCCCTTAAGAGCCAGCCGGGAATAACGGGTCACAGCCCTGGGCAATATGCTAATGTGTCGGTATCCGCGTGGCCACCGCAGGCGCCCGCCTCTGGTGCCACTAACCCACATTCGATCGTCTCAATGATGCGCCTGTTTATGGCCGGCTCGTACTCGAAAACACTCGTTATACTTTCCTATTGATCGATGAAAGTCTAAATGACCGTATGTGAGAAGAACATAAGCGGCATCAGCGTCATTCGAATAAACACGTGTAGAAATGTAGATACATTTCTACACGTGTTTATTACTTACCATACAATGTACATGTTTTTCAAATTTATCATTTTTAGGTATTCATTTAGTAAATTATTACGATAATAGTCAGCAAAGTTAAATATCCGTTAAATACGCAGTAATATAGAAAAATTTCGAATGCTTTAAGCCACGAGGTCATATTCAACTTATTACGCAGCATAACGGACCTTAATGTTTTCGATCTTAGCTCATCTCGAAACGTTCGACTGAAGCGCAACGGTTAAAGAGAGGGGCCTCGCGCAGTTCCCGCGTGTCTTTCGTCGCGCGCGCAACACTTACCACCGCTGCATTTATATTGCGCAAGCTTATGAAGTTTTTTTTTTCGCCAGATTGCAACCTGAAAGCGGCAATTGAAACCGTGCGGCGCGCGGCACGCGGCATGGAGGCAGGCGCGGCCGCTGATGAATTCATCACGATAGTTCCGGTGGGAGAGGGTAAGCCCGCCGTGAAAGACTCCGCTTTTGTTACGGTACTAACAGTTGGCGCCGCAGCAGGCGCTGCCGAAATTGTGGTACAAAGACCCCGCGGTGCGCGTCTCGGTCTCGGACTAAAGTTCGAAGGAGGTTCCGCTGCCGCCGAAAAAGTAAGGAGACTCCTTGTTCAGTCATGCGCTGAAGACAGTCCGGCCGCAAACGCTTGTAGCCCTTGGGGTAAACTTATACCTGGAGATGAAATTTTAGCTATCGATGGGGTGTCTGTTTCCGATCTAACAAGAATCGACTGTGTCCGTCGCTTGAAAGACTCTGATGAGACTTTAAAGCTATTGGTTCGCCATTTTGAAATAAATGAAAAGCCAGAGTTGAACATAATGGATTCGGTTGAAGAAAGCTTAACTTTGAATCAGACATCAGAAATATGTGCTCAAACAACTTTACCGCCACCTGTTCCTCCGAGAAAATTGGGCAAGAAAAACTCTTTCAAGGACAAACAGACTCTACAAACAGTCGGTGAACAAAACGCACTAGAAAACCTTGATGGTCACAAGCAAACAATAAATGATAAAGACAACTTAGGAACAATTCAAAGTTCTGTAGTATCCACAACAACTAAATTGTCAAGAAAGTCTTCCTTTGATAGTCATATACATCGTCAAAATAAAGAAGGTATTGCATATCTAAAGAAAGGTTCACCCGATGAAGTAAGGCGGTTAGTGCGCAGGTTATCAGATGGTAAGGTTATGCCTCCGGATGCAGAAGTATATATTGATTTACTCTCAAATGAGTGGGAACGTTGTCTGGTTATGGCGGATGCTGAATCAGATGATACGGGAAGTTCAATTTCCACAGTTGTAGATAGATTGGGATCAATGGCAAGTTCTGTTGAAAATAGCATACCTTCGACTCCAATAATGCAACCTAAATCTTTTGATATCCATAAAGTATTAAATTGTATTGAAAATATCGACTCAAATATCTTAAAGGATATGACAAATGGGACATTCATAGAGAATGAAATCGCTTTAAAAAGAGAATTTAAAAAATTAGAATCTAATACTAACGAATTTAGTATTCAAGAGAATTTCATTCAGAATACACCAAAGGAGGACTCCATACCTTCCTCGAAAAAGCAACATCATAATAATGACAAGAATAATAATTATACTGTCGCACTAAATCCTCCTAAAAAGTTGGAAGCTAGTGAATCACAAAATAAAGAACAAAAAGATACAAAACAGGAAGTTGCAACGGACAAACCTAAGCCCATGCCTAGAAATACAAAAATTGAGCGTTCTGCAAGCGAAAAAAAAAGGAAACCGATTCCGATTCCCGAAACATTGCCACCGCCGGCACTAGAACCACTTCTAACTCCTACTAAAAAGACATGTATAGAGACTTGGTTACAGCGCTCTGAAGCAGAAATGAACAATAAGACTGATGACAAGTTTGATGAAAGCATTGCTCCGGAAGTTTTACCACGGCTTATCGATTTTGTTCCCAAGTCCCAGTTTAAAGAAAATGCGAATGAAACACAAGTCTGTACGCGGCCAACCACGGCACCTCCACCACCACCTCCAGTTGAAACGCGCGAAGATGGTTCTGGGGCCTCCCTTGACACAATTGGCGAAATGGATGAATCAGGCGACGTGACAGATAGCGCGTAAGTATGATGCTACTTTCTAATTATTTCTATTTGAGTTTAATATATACTTTAGTATTTTGAGAGCTTAAAAGCAAGAAATGAAGATTAATTCAGATATATATAGCTTTGTAGGATAAATAAAAATGCAAGTAGATATTAAAATCAAAACTTTCAAGAGAACAATTTATTTTTAAATAATGTCGAGTATTATATATAAATTATTATAATGAAATATGGTATATTGTCGTCGGTTATATTAACATCACATCAGGCGTTACAAGTAATTTTCGAATTGAATAAGATCATAATAACACAATTGAATTTCTTCTAACGCTGTTGCTTTCTAACGCTGTGCAAATGTACCTCACATTTGCTGAATGAGATTTGTTTACGAAGCTAAATAATGGAACAGTAACAGGGCACGTTGTTAGCAATAAATAAATATATTGCATATTTTAAATACTGAGCTTTCATATGTATTGTGCTGATTAATAATCAGCAGTGGGGTCGCGCGGTGGACTATGCTGTACAGAGGAGGCCTTTGCCCAGCATTGGGACACTAAGATGTTGGGGGTTATAGGCTGGAGAAACAAAGCCATGAATAGATCGGACTGGAGAGATTTGCTTGACCAGGCTAAGGCCCACCCGCGGCTGTAATGCCTCAGATGATGATGACTTTACTTTACTTTTTTATTAAGTACAAAAGTATTAGTAGAGTAAGTTTTAATAGAGGCCATTAATCAAAAAAGAGAAGAAAATAAAAAAAATATCATAATTAAGAATCACACATTTCTCTGATTGTTGGAAAAAAAACTTGATTCTTTATGACCGTAACTACTTAAACACCAGATATATGGATTTATCCATAAAATAACAGGACTGTATGTATTTGACCCAGATTGATTTACAAAATGCTGAAGTATGATAATTTTATGAGACAACACAAATACACACGAAAAACAAGAGACTTTGTGTCCACTATTATACAGAAGTAGTATACTTGTTATAGTGTAGCGTTATAATTGTTGAAATGGATATCGAAATTTTAATTGTAATTTTCTTACATTGTTGTATAAAACAAATAACATTTTTTTAACATCTCATCTTTTTTCCCGATGGGAAAAGGATTAACCATAACAGTAAATGTATTTAGCCTCGGGAAAATAATGTGTTTAAGATATTTCGTCAAGAAATATTTATTTTATCAAGGAAAGACAAATATTGTCGAAACTTTTTTTTTATATGACACAATGTCCTTACTTTAGGATAACATTATCCTGTGTTGTAAGGACGTTTTACAAACATAAATTTCACTCGGACAAACACCCAGATCCGAAAAAACTATGGGTCACACAAATAGTTGTCCCGCGTGGGATTCGAACCCATGACCCCCGACGCCGAAGCCAATACCTTGGCAACTGCGCCACGGAGTCATCAGACGATTACTTCTTTGGTTCTTTTTTAAACGACAGGCTCGCCACCGATCCGATAGCGTTAAAACACGGCCTGAAATGTTTAATATATTGATTTTGTTTTCGATTTTAATTTTGAATCATTGTCAGCTATTAAAGAAATATATAATTATACATATATATATATATATATATATATATACGTTCCAAACAACAATTTCGGTTATTTATACGTGAACTTCACAAAATATGTTAGCTGCGAGACATACAAAAAGCTTATAAGGCCATAGGCGAAAGAAAGCATAATTTCACCCAAGAGTAAATAACCGTGGAGTGCAATTGAAAATTCCGTTTATAGATGACTAGAGTCGGCTCGCAGTTAGAAATTAACTTTTAATTACCCACAATTATTTAACGTAGAGCGAAAATTAACGACCTATGCTAGAACTGTCTCTAGTAATTAAAATATATATATATAGCGAAGGAAGAAACTATGTAAACTTCTTCTATGATATATTTTCTAGTGTACAGTAATAGGATATTATGTCCCACTTTCGATGAGTGATCGCTAATATTTTGAAACATTGCCAAATCAATATGAGATTATATGCAATCCCGCAACAAATTCAATCAGTTGTGGTATAGTAAATGTATTATGGTATAACAAAAATTATTTTTTGAAAATTTAATAAGATTTGCCTTATACATGAAAACAGTTTAGATATTTCCAAATGAATTTACGTGCGAGTTAATTCTTTGTGTTTTAGCGTAATAATGAGGCTTTGTATTGTTATGCTATTATTTATCACAACAATGGTTATGCCACACACAAATGTGTTTATAATAACAATATTACAACTACATTTTAGTCACTTAATATTATTGGCGTTATAGCTCTCATGTTTAAAATAATTCATTTTTGAGATTTGACTTTCATTCTCTGACATAATTAGGAAGTGTTTTCATGTCTGTGGTGAAAAAAGATTCTTTGGTGGGTATTTAAAATATGTCACATATATTCGCATCTACGTGTTTTACCATAAAAAAAGGTAAAAGACAGGTTAATCAAAAAAAAAAAAAGTTCCGACAACCCTAAACGTGTTGAGAAATCCAAATAGCATAACATACTTAAAGCGTGTTCCATTTCATGCTTGCGTCGCGAATTTGTTTATATAGTCACGAAGTTATAAAGTATTTTCATTGTTTTCTCCGCTAACAATACTTTTACCAGTTGCACAGGGACAACGGGTAGGGTGAAAGAAAAGAATATTTTATTCGGACCGGTGACACACATGGAAAAGTTTTCTGTATTCTCATGCAAACTAGGGAGCGACAATGCCACCGCTGCGAGGGCGGAGTGGCGTTCGCGACCATTGCACCCCCGCCCTCCCTGAAAAAGCAGCCCAGCCTTGCGCACCCTGCCATTGTTCCACCAACCTACATCTCCATGCTAAAATTGTAAAGAGAGTGTATTAAAAGCGATACCGGCGGGGTCTTCTTTAATTTTCCACGTCATTCGCGATAAACGTGTTTAATGTTTCACTAATTAGAGCCTACTGATTCCGAAAATTGGGTCACTGCGGTTCGAGCGTTTTAAAATTAAACCTCTGCTAAATAATTTATGCATCGGCCAGTCGCAAAACTTGCCAGCGCTGAATCGGAATGCGAACTTTGTACTTATTCAATGGCATGTGATGATGAAATAAAGGTTAGGCGGGTTAAGTTTTTTACGATTCTTAGAAATGTACGAAGCCTAAATAACTTTAGAACCGTTTACACATCAATAAACACCTGTCTGTGTCTGCATGTTATTATATTTATGTATTTGAATACTTTAATGAATACGAATTTAGATGGGATAAGTAATTTGACAATACAGTTTATATATTTTCTTTTAAAATTTCCTTGTTTTGATTCGCTCTTCCATGAAAATTTTACTTTATTATTTTATTCATTAAAATGAATAAAATTGAAGTGACTGCTTGTAACATGTTGTAACATCAAAGTTTTACTTTATATGTTACTTGTAACGAAAGCCCAATTATAAAAAAAATTGATCTGTCTGTCTGCCTGTTTGTTCCAGCTAATCCGTTAATTTTATTCGGGCTTTTACTGTCTGGAAAATGGGTATTAAAGAATTAGCGTTATGAAAAATAAAACACCTAAATCAGTTTTACTTTAAAATGTTGGAAACTGTTAGGAAGTCCTTTTGACATACAAATCTAACATACAGCCCGTATAAAAAAACGTAGGGGCCAATTCATCCTTCTTAATAGTCATTGTAATTTATTATCTGTCCTTTAATAAAACTAGCTGAATGATGCTGAATCGCTTATGGGAATAAAAGGTAGGATTATTATAACGGTGGTAGGGCCACGCAGCAACCTCGGCTGTTGGAATAATGGGCGGACCCGTCCGGGTAAGTACCACGACCTCACAAAAGACCAGCGTAAAGTGGAAGTATGACAAATACTTTCGCGTTTCGTCTGGTGAGTGAGGTAGCCGAAGTCCAATTTTCAAAAGGTTGTCAACGCATCTGTAACCCTCGGGTGTAGCAGATGTCCATGAGCGGCGGTATTCACTTACCATCAGGTGAACCGTCTGTTCGTTTGGCAACGTTTCGCTAAAAAAAAAAGATATAAACTTTTCGTTAAATCTGCAAACTGAATAAACTTTTTTGGGTAATTTCAATTTGCGTATGATACGAGTAGTGGCCACACACAATATAATAACAACAAAATACACAACAGTTACAGATCTATATGTAAATTTTGCAATTTCCTTAGCCGTATGCGTTACTATGAGTTTTAATTCAGTACTCCGTTTGTTGTTTTGCTTCAATAATTTGCCGAAGAACAAAGCGCGTCATACTTATGTAGAAGATAACAATCGGTCAGAAACCCGTCACGGCTTTGTAAGTTGAAATAGAAAGTCAATCATTGCAGAAGCACTGTCGTTCTCAGACTGCCTTGGTGATCAAGGAATATTGCAAATGAACAATTGGTAGCGCAATGTTAAATAGTTAAGAAATATAATGAGTTGTTAAGAAGAATCACGACTTCATGCATACGTTTTATGCTGACACATCACGCACTTTATGCCGACATCTTTATAAACGTAACGTCTGGCTTTTAATGTGGTGTAATAGATTTTTAATATTTAATTGTTAAGGTGCCATACCCAAAGGGTAAAACGGGACTCTATTACTAACGCTCCACTATCTGTTTGTCAATCTGTCTGTCTTTCACCAGGCTGTATCTCATGAACCGTGAAAGTTAGATAGTGTAAATTTTCACATAATTATGATTTATTTCTGTTGCCGCTATAATAACAAATACTTAAAAACAGAAAAAATAATAATTTTGAGCAAAAAAAAAAACCGACTTCAAACAGGAAACTAAAAGCATTGCCAACACCTATAACATGTGAGGATTGCCCTCGATTTCTCTGAGATGCCATTATCAGATCTGGGTTTCCTTATCATGGCACCACCCTTGGGATATCTCCTTTCCAACAAAAAAGAATCATCAAAATCGGTTCATAAATGACCAAGTTATCCCCGAACACACATAATAAAAATAAAAATATATACGGTCGAATTGAGAA